TCTCTCTCTCTCTCTCTCTCTCTCTCTCTCTCTCTCTCTCTCTCTCTCTCTCACACACACACACACACACACACACACACACACACACACACACACTTCTCTCTCATGCATGCACGCATACACACACACACACTAAGGTTTGGGGAGTGATGTCCAAGGGTATGTCTACACTGCAGTTAAACTAATGTGGCTGGCCTGTGCCAGCTAATTCAGGCTCGTGGGGTTCTGGCTTTAGGGGTTGTTTAATTGAGGTGTAGATGTTCAGGATCTGGGACCCTTCCACCTCACAGGATCCTAGAGCCCAGGCTTCAGCCTGAGCCTGAATGTCTACACTTATTTCCATATTCATTTTTAAGCTGGAGATATTAAATCAGAAATTTAGGAAACTTTGAAAATATATCACGTAGCATTTCTCCACTGTAGAAATCAGAAGGACTCTCCATGTCAACAAATCACAATACGTTCAGTTCTTATTGCTGAGCAGGAGCACTGTAAATAACTAGTTTTCATGAATCTCCTCCTCAATTAGTCTGTTAGAAATTATATTGATTTTATCTATCATTACCCCGTTTCCAGGAGTCTTCTGAAGGATCTCTCTCATCCAAAAAAAAAAAAGGGTCACATTTGCAAAATATAACTTGTTAAATTTTACCTCTGAAGTTCATATGCATGGGTACCAACAAGTAATTTTGTACATAAACTGGGAAATACCTACTTTTGCATATGTAATTCCTTATTTTGGCTGCACAGTTAGCACCCTCATGCATATGTGAAGAAGTCAATCTTTTTAAAATTTGGCTTTAAATATTAAATTATCCGCCACCTTAGTACTATTTAGGTTGCACCATCATTAATCTTTTCCAAAAGTGCAATCTTATTAGGCAGGGTCAATTGCTATGCAATGCTATGCTATACTATACTACGCATCCCTTCAGTTGTAGATCTTTAAGACAAATCCTCATTTTTATGCCTGAGCATTTGAAGGTAGCAGGATTTATACTATGGTGAGTACTGGAGTAATTCCTGCTGGAATGAGAAAAGCCAAGGAAACCATAGGGATCAAAGCCAGCTTGGTTGTCTCCTGTGAGAACCTGAGATACCGATGTGGGAGCTGTGAAACTGAAATCTTCTTCTGAGGGACTGCTTTGCTCTTTATCAAACCGGGAAAGGGAAACTATTAATTGCTAGCAGGGCATACATAGTTATTGAACACTGCCAACACTTTAGAATTGTTTGAGGTCCCTACTGCAGTGCCATAGTCCTCAGTGCCAACATACAGAAATTCTGATTGTTTTAAGAGTCTCCATTTGAGAATACTTCAGCATTTGCTACAATAAATAAATGTTCTCTTAACTTTAGTAATTAAGACTTTTGAGTGTTTTCTTTTTCTAAAATAAGAAACTTTTTTCATTTCTCCAGAGTTTCAGATAATCATGTAAATGTAGTGTCCCTTTTCTGCGTCCCTCTTATCACTTTGCCTGATGTAACTCCTCTACTGGAAGCGCTCCTTACCTATCATGGAGGTGGATCGCAAGAAGTTCTCAGCTCAGAGTTTTTAGAAGCTGTGAATGAGACATTTTTAAAGTAAGTAACATAGAATATACAGATTACCAAAGAGAATATTAACTGTGTTCAGTTGGAATTACTATTTGGTGAACTTGCATACTGGATGCATTGAATATCTACTGTATTGTAACAAAATATTTTCTTTTTACCTGAATAGCAGATCTGAAGTTGAAGGAAAACAAGGATTCTAGATTTCTGATGTGCTATTTCAGTTTTACTTTCCCTATGACATATGTTAGACAGCATCACTGTAATTGTTTTTGGATTTTGCCTTTCATTGAGATTTTGTACCTCTTTGCCATAAATATACTAGATCTTTCCTAACTTCTGCTATTAGAGATCCAGATTTAATATTGTGTCCTTCCATACCAAAACATACCGGTTATATTCTTGTCTTTGTGTTGCTTGACAGTTCTCATATTTCTATTGAGAACTTGGTTCTCCACGTTTTCAAGTCTTGTATCTCCCAGCAGATTATTTTTAACTAGGCACTTGAATACAATTAACGATATGTAGATTTGCTTATACCTCTGCCATCAAGGTTGTCCAGTGTTTGGATGAGATTAGCTCATAGATGAAGAGCAGGTGATTGAAGCTGAACCTAAGCAAGACAGAGGTGATGGTGAACGGAGAAAAAGCACTATGGGAAGTTTGTAGCCACAATGCTTCCTTTGGTTGAAGGTACATGCCCATAATTGCTCAATTCAATCCATAGTCTAGGAATGCTTTTGAATTTAATGAAGAGGCTAAGCTCTCACATAGCAGTGGCCATGAGTAGCTTTCTGTCATCTCTGGTTAGCAAGGAGACTCCATCCCATCACATCTTGGCAGATAATGATTTGGTTTCAATTATACAAGCATTTGTCACCTTCCAGCTGGAATATAGCAATGATGAGTACACTTGGGCATGAAGCTATCAGCCTTTAGGAAACTCCAACTAATACAGCACTGTGGGCTACTGCAAGCATATCAGACCTGTCCTCTGCTCTTTATGCTAGCTTTACTTTCTTCTAAAATTGTATAAGTATGTATATGTGGATTGATAATTTTGCATTGATATGCAATTCTTTTAAATATTTATTCACTTCATGGCTCAGTTTGTAAAAAACAATATTTTCCCATTAACTCAGGAAGAAGATTGCCCTCTCTGAATCAGCTATCCTAAGCTTGTGGCTTCGTCATCTGCCTAGCCTTGAAAAAGCAACACTGCATCTTTTTGGAAGGTTGATTTCCACTCAAACAAGTTCACTGGAAGAGGTAGCATGTATCATAAGAGAGTCATTACTGGTATGTACCACAATTAATACATTACGTATGTTATGCTGAAGGATCGCCAAATACTTCTCTCATATACAGCATCACTGAAATCCAGCAACCTCTATGGGGGAGAGTAGCTGTCAGCTGGTGTGTAGCTTAATAACAGTAGTGGAAAGAGGAGAAATTTTTGTGCAGAACACCATGGCAAATCCCTACTCTAATAAAATATGTTAAAATTAAAAACCTCACAGAACATGATGTCTTGGCATCAAAAGCTTCATCCATAGACCGTCAGGAGATAAACTGAAATGGGGCCTGATTGTCAGAAGTGCTGAGCGCTATCATCATTTTAGATTTTTTTTTTAGAAATATTCTATTATATAGTGCACCAGTTCCATCCAATGTATTTAGAAATTGATAATGATTTGGGACCTGGTCACTTGACATGATTAAAGGCTTCCACTAACAAAGAAATAGTAACAGAACCCATTTATGAAAGCAGTACATTTTAGGATGTATAGGTATGTCATATGCACATATCTTGCATTATGAAAGTGAACCTGAGGCATGGACACTTTGAAATGTGGCATATATGATACTATAATCACACACCTGGAGGTGTGCTCTCATGTGTCTTTTAACATTTTAAAATTCTTTTCTCTTCTTAGAGTATTTTTACATGTCCATTCCACTGTAGGTGTGTGTGCACCCACGTGCACAGTTGTCGATCCTTTTCCCTCAGTGGTGCCCGTTGGGGCAGCTTGAGCATGCTCTACCCTTGCGCGCCAATGCGTGCAGGTACAAAAGGGGCTCCGCTGCCCCCGACCCCCCTCAGTTGCTTCTTACTTCCAGTGGCGGTTGTTGGAGTGCTTTCAGTTTGCTATAGCAAGTTCTTCCCTCGCTTCTTGTATATAGCTGTTTTTTTCTTAGAAGTTAATAGTTAGGTAAAGTCTAATATAGATAAGTGTTAGTATTAAGTTTCAGTTTTTAAGTTTTTTTTAACCAATTCAAATTTCAGTACTGGGTCTAGTATCAGAGCCATGCCTCGCTTTCTGGGGTTTAAGTCCTGCCTGTCATGTAGTATGCTGATGCTGGTCATTGACCGACACCGCAGCTGTCTAATGCTTGGGGGAGTCCCACATTACTGACAAGTGTCACATCTGTAAGAGGTTCAAGCCTAGCTCTAAGAAGGATAGAGCAGCCAGGTTCAAGTGTCTCCTAATGGCCCACCATCAGAGCCATTGCTTTTGAAATTTTGGTATGGAGCGCTCCATCAGAGATGTCTACAGCACCTCACTCTCTATCTCTGGTGCCAGAAAAGAGAGACAGGCCCTCGAGAGACTTAGTATCCTGTTTGGCAAGATCGTCTGTACTGAAGTCAGCCAGAGGCAAGGACTCTGGGAAAGATTCTGAAGAGTGCTCCCTAGAGGACTCCTCATCTAAGATTGTCAACCCTAGAACCTGTGACATGTCTGTCGAGGCCAACCCCTGAAGTACCCATAGAAGGACATCAGGGTCAGGAATCAAGACCAGCACTGATGACACCAGAGGTTTATGCAGCTGTGAGAGAACTGCTTAACCTCTTGGTGTCTCCGGTGGTGCAGGAAGGTTTCCAACCAGTACCAGTGACTGTGGTTCCTAGTCCAGCTCTTCAGGAGCATGCAGTACCATTACCTTCTATGCTTTTGGTACCTCAGAAGCTAGTGCAATCAAGAGGCAAGCCAGTGATGATATCCCCATACTGCCATCCCTGAGCTTTGAAACACTGCAGGGGTTAGTTCTGGAGGTAAAAGCAAATCCTCTCACCACAGTTCGCAGCTGCCTCAGATTCCTGGGGCACATGGCAGTATGTACCTATGTAGTGCAGCACGCCAGACTACACCTCAGGAAGTTGCAAGGTTGGCTGGCTTCAGTGTATGTCCTAAGTAGCTCAAGTACTGGTGTTAGTTTTGTCATCTCTGGACTGGTGAATACACTCACTGAAAGTTTGTGTGAAGATCTGTGAAAGAGTATAGGCCCCACATGGATGAGGAAGGGACCAGAGAGGCCCTGGTTGTTGGGCTAGCCCCACCTATCCAGTCCTGTCAATCATGCATGATTGGGAAGAGGGCTTTAAAAGGGAAGAAACTGCAGTAAGCTGGGGGGAAAGGAGCAAGATTACCCTAAGCTAGGGTTACCATATCTGAACTTTTAAAAAAGAGGACACTCGAGGGGGTGGGGGGTGGTAGCCCCGCCCCCTAGCCACTCCCTCCCACTTCCCGCCCCCTGACAGCCCCCCCCAAACTCCCGATCCATCCACCTCCCCCGTTCCCTGTCCCCTGACTGCCCCCCTTCTCCAACTCCCCAGCCCCCTTACCGTACCGCTCGGCTTAGAGCAGGTGTCTGGCTCCGCACCCCAAGGAGCGCCCCGCCCCGCCGAGCGGCGTGCTGAGGCTGTGGAGGAGGGGGGAAGTGGGGGAGGGGCTCTGGCCGGCGCTGCCAGCCCCGCTGCCGCGTTCCCTCACAGGCGCACAGACCGGGCGGTGTGCTAAGGCTGCAGGGGATGGGGGGAACTGGGAAGGGGCTTTGGCTGCCGAGGCCCCAATGTGCGAGGTGCTCGGCTGCCCTGTCAGCCGCTTTTCGCTCTTTAAATAGCCGACCAGGGGGAAATCCCAGACATTTTTAGATTTTTAGAAATTCCCCCCGGACGGCTATTTAAAGAGCGAAAAGCCGGACATGTCCGGGGAAATCCGGACGTATGGTAGCCCTAGACTACAGCACCAGACTGCAGGAGCAATGCCTGATGTTGCAAAGGGAACTCCTAGGCAGGAGACCTTCATCCTGACCCTGAGGAAAGTACAGCAGACCCCCTATGGTAAGACACACAGGCTGTGACCCAGACTGAGCGATTTCCACAAACCCATTATCTTGGGACTGGATTGTTGGCAGCACTATAGCCACCCTTCCCCACCTCTGCTTTCTGGAACCTCAGGGAGTCTCCCTGAAAGTGTGGGGAGTTTGTGACTTCCATATTGATCCCCCAGCCAGAGAGACTTAAGGAGCCCACAAAGGACAGAACCCCCCTTGGGAATAGTAGGGAAGTGGGGCTGGTGTTGTTACCACCCAGTGTAGATAACTGGGTGTGGTCAGGTTCCCCCACCCCCTGAGGGAGGGAGGAGCCACCAAAGACTCTGTTACAGGGTTCTCTTCATTCCCCTACAACCAATGCTCACTTTAATCACAGATGCATCATCCCTGGTTGTGGGACACATACAGGGTCCCTGTAGACTCAAAGTCTGTGGTCTTCCCAAGAACTGAAGACTCTCATAAATGTCAGAGAGTTGTGAGCTGTCCATCTAGTCTGTTCAGCCCTCCTTTTGCATATCAAGGGGGAAAAAATCTGCTAGTATTAACAGACAGCACAGCAACTATATTTTAGGTAAACATGCAGGGAGGGATGCATTTGACACAGCTGTGCCAGAAGATGATTGACCTGTGGGACTTTTGCATAGTCAGTTTGGTTCACTTCAGAGCTCCTTACCTTCCAGGAATGCAGAATTCATTGGCAGATCAGCTGAGCAGGTTCTTCCCTGATCACCATCAGTGTTTGCTGTCTCTGGACATGGCCAGATTCATGTACCAGCTGTGGAAGACTCCCCTGGTGGACCTCTTTGCAAAAAAGGCCAATAGAAAATGCCATCCTGTTTACAGTCCAGGTTTGTTGACAGACACATTCCTGCTATCCTGGAAGAATTCCTTTCTATATGCCTTACCTCCGATTCCATTACTGCCCAGAGTCTTGTCCAAGACCAGGCTCACCTCATACTTATAGCACCAGCATTGCCTCAGCAACACTGGTATTCAACCTTGTCAGTCAGACCTCCATTATCTCTCCCGTTGAATCTATGTATGATTTCCCAGGGCCATCGGTATCTGCTGAACCCCAACCTGCAAGCCCTCCATTTGACAGAGTGGATGCTTCATGGTTAACACCATTGGAAAGGGCTTGCTCTAAGAACATATAGAAAGTACTTCTGAATAGTATAAAGCTTCGAGAAGAGGTACTTATCTGGTTAATCAAACGTTTTTCCATCTGGTCCCGACAAAAAGGTTCCCTCCAAATAAGCTCTTATCAGTCATGTATTGGAAGGTCTTTTACACCTAAAACATCAAAGTCTAGCTGTTAATTCTATCAGAGTACCTCTGGCAGCTATCTCAGCTTTCCACCGGTTGGTAGATAATAAATCTCTTTTTTTTTCCCAACCCTATCACCATCAGATTGCTAAAGGGTTTGGACAGATTACACTTTTAGGTGAAAGCTCCTATTCCCCCATAGGGTCTGATTTTGTGTTGGCAAAATTAATGGGGCCACTTTTGAACCTCTTGCAACTTGCTCCCTTCTCTACCTCTCTATAAATGTGGCCTTTTTCATTGTGATTACCTGTGAAAGTGGGTGAGTTGAGAACCCTGGTTCCAGAGCCTCCCTATACGGTTTTCCATAAGGATAATGTTTACCTATACCCTCACCCAAAGTTCCTAACAAAGGTGGCCTCCAGGTTTAACATTAACCAGGCAATTTATTTGCTAAATTTCTTTGTGAAACTTCACACTCATAGAGATGAGGAGAAACTTCATTGTTAGATGTTTGAAGAGCTTTAGCTTTCTACCTGGTTCCACAACGCGGTTGTTTGTTGTGGTTGTGGATAGAATGAAAGGACATCCAGTTGCCATTCAGAGGATTTCACCCTGGATTTCTTTGTGCATTTGTTTGTGTTACCAGTTGGCTAATATGATGCCACCAGCTAGAGCAAGGGTGGGCAAACTACGTCCCGCGGGCTGGATCTGGCCCATCAGGGCTTTGGATCCAGCCCGCGGGATTGCCACCCCCGTGGCGCCTCAGGCCCTGCGCCGCTGCTGGAAGTGGCCGGCACCACATCCCTGCAGCCCCTGGGGGAGGGGAGGGCAGAGGGCTCTGTGCGCTGCCCTCTTCTCCAGGCACCGCCCCCCTCAGCTGCCATTGGCCAGGAACGGGGAACCGTGGCCAATGGGAGCTTCGGGAGAGGTACCCACAGGGGAGGGCAGCGCGCAGAGCTCTTGGCCCCCCCCCCCCCCCAGGGGCCGCAGGGACATGGTGCCGGCCGCTTCCGGGAACAGCGCGTGGCCAGGGCAGGCAGGGAGCCTGTCTTAGCTCCCTGCGTGCCACTGCCACCACGGAGCTGCTCCAGGTAACCAGCGCTGGGCTGGAGCCTGCACCCCGCACCCCAACCCCCTGCTGCACCCTGCACCCAAACCCCCTGTCCTGAGTCCCCTGCTGCACCCCAACCCCCTGCCCTGAGCCCCTGCTGCACCCCAACCCACTGCCCTGAGCCCCCTGCCGAACCCCTTCTGCACCCCAACCCCCTGCCCTGAGCCCCCTTGTACACCATGCGCCCCAACCCCCTGCCCTAAGTCCCTTCCTGCACATCACACCCCCTCCCACATCCCACACTCCCTCTCGCACCTCTACCCCCTGCCCCAGCCCTACATTCATGGCCCTGCATGCAATTTCTCCACTCAGATGTGGCCCTCGGGCCAAAACGTTTGCCCACCATTGAGCTAGAGTATTGGCCCATTTCACTAGAGCGCATGCAGCATCAGCAGCTTTCCAAGTGCAACTACCTATTCTGGACAACTTGGTCATCAGTGCACATGTTAGCTTCTCATTATGCTGTAGCCAAGCAGTCCAGGACCCATGCCACTGTTGGACGTGTTGTTCTCGAATCTGTTCCTGTAGACTCTGAGCCCACATCCAGTAGAATGGACATGTGCAATCAGTCAAAGAAGAAGAAACTGCCTACCTCTCTCTAACAGTTGTTCTTTGAGATGTGTTGCACGTGTTCATTCCATGACCCACTCTCCTTCCCCTCTCTATCAAAATCTGTCCCAGTAAGAGGAACTGAGATGGATTGGGGTGGTTCTGCCCTCTTATGCATGCACAGAGTGGCATGCAATGGCAGAGGGCACTCAAACTGCCCTAATGGGTGCTGCTGAGGGGAAAAAGATCTTTGACAGCTGTGCATGGGGCGCCCACACACACCTACAGGGAAATGGACATGTGCAACACATCTCAAAGAACAGTTACAGAAAGGTAGGTAACTATTTCTTATTCATTGCCTCTGTAGATCCCCATTGTAGGTGTTGTGTACCATGCTGACAAGCTACATAACTTCTAGTTTATGACGCTGCTTATGCATCAATCAGTGATCTGAACATTTCAGAACTCAAGATTACAAAAGGTTCTGTGCCTGTATACGTTCTCATCTCTCTCTTTTCCACCTGTAAAGTGGTCACAGGATTATCTCTGTCCCATAATCTATATAATACAACTGTCTTATCCATCTATCCATCCCTAAAGCCATCATTCACCATAATATATAGGTGCTATACATAGCTTACAGAAAACATTGGATCAGTATAGAAAGAAAGTAAAATCTCTGTCTTAATCTTGGGTATATTATTTATTTATTTATTTATATTTATATTACATTCACACCCAGAGCCCCCCAGCAGGATTGGGACCATATTGTGCTGGGCAGATTCCTATTGCACATACTTGAAAATTCAGCCCCTGCCCCCAAAAATTTGCACTCTAAGAAGACAAATGACACACACACATAAACAAGAGAAGAAGATGAGGGCATTCTGTGTAAAGGGGTAGTGTGGATGAAAGCACAAAGATGAGAATTTGACAAATAGGCAGATAAGCCTTGCTTTGTTGGTAGGAGGCAATGCATTAAGAGTATGCAAGAGGGATATGAGGGTACAGTTGAGAGGGTGATGACAGGAAGCTTGATCTTCTTGCAGTGAAGCATGGTAGCAGGAGCTGGTAGGGTGGATGATGTGCTCAGAGCAATGGTCAGTCAGTCTAATAATTCCCTTATTACATGCTATTTTAAAAGCTATTTAGAATACAGTAAGTAGAAACTTTGGATTTACCAGTGTGATGAATATATCCTGTCTAAAATATATTTAGAACATTTATTTAGAGGTACATGAATATGTGTTTTGTTTGATTGATTATGACATTTCCAGGATGTGACCTCTATGTGCCTTATGGTTTACGATAATTACAATACAAAATGATGAGCCAAAAATTACTGATTGATTTAGACTCTTTTTCCTATTTGCAATAAAAACAATACAGTACAAAAAAAGCAACCAGAAAAAAATTGGTTATGTGAATAAGCTGCTTCAGAACTGCATCATCTGAGTCATTTATCACAGTGAATTATCTCAGCACTGTCATAAGTGTAGGTAAATATCTTAGGGCAAGTCTACACTACAGCACATCATCAGCGCAGCTGCACACCGATGCAGCTGCACTGCTGTAGCGCATCTGGTGAAGACGCACTATGCTGATGGGAGAGCACTCTCCTATTGGCATAATTACTCCACCTTGGCGAAAAGTGGAAGCTATGTCAGCAGGAGATCATTTCCTGCTGACATAGCACCGGTGTGGACAGTGTGAAACTTGCGTTACTCGTGGAGTTTTTTTTTTTTCACACCCCTGAGCAATGAAAGTTAGATCAACTTAAGCGGTAGTGTAGACCTGCCCTTAGAGATCTGCAGGACCCGGATAGAAGACTGCTGTGCTTTAGTATGAAAGAAACTTGATATCCAATACTGTTATATTTGGATTCCAACTGTAATTAGAGTGTGATGGTCTAGTAACTTGTATTTTATATGGTGTGTGGTTAATTATGTTTACATCTCTTGGCAGAAACTGGAATTAGTATTGGAAATTCTGTAGTTACTAGGAAGTAATAAAAACAAAAGATCAGCATTATACACATTGCATATAGTGAAATAATCTACATGAATATTCTTTGGCATCTAAGGAATTGAGAGGTCTTGCATTTTTGAGGGTTGAAGTGTACATAAGTGTATAATATATATGTGTGTATGTATATATGTGTTTGTAATATCTATGTGGTGGTGTATTAAACTAAATTCTTAATTTGCAAATTAGAATTTTTTTTTTAGATACCTTCCTTTACAAATACATTTCAGGCTTTTTGTACAGTCCTCACTACATGCACATATAGGCAAATCAGGGCCAATAGTAATGTCTGTGCAGATTTTAGTTAGTACTTTTGGAAGCAGATGTAGTTGTGCTCCTTTGAAAGGTAGGGCACAAGAAAACCTTAATCCTTGGCTTTAGTTTCTGACCCTTAAAACATATGTCGTTCTTGACATTGTAAGCCATTTTGTAAGTATGCAGTTCTTCTGGCATCATCAACTTTCCCAAGTCTGGCCCAGAATCAAAACTATGTTATGCTTTCCAGCTGAAATTCAGGTTGTGGACCCTCAAATGCTATTGTTTTTGAGTCAGCACTGCAGAGTGAAAAGTGCCACTTATTAGGTGGGGGTGGTGACACACTATTATGCTGCCATACAGGATACTAAGGTTTGGGGTTGTACCCTGGTTCCTATGCCTCTACATTGCCCCCCTGCTTTGACTGATCCACACAGTTATCTTCTAGCTGGATCCAGAGTCATCTTTCACAGCTAGACCTGCCAGTGAAAGAGGCAGAGAACAGGGAGAAAGATGGGGGAGGTGTAAGAGAGAAATTGGGAGAGGCAAGACAATTTTTGTTTTAAATTGAATTTCCTTGCAGGGTATCCCAGCTAAGTAAAGTTCAACAGATACAATTAATTTCCTTAACCGTGTATTTTATAAAAGAATCCATCCTCAAAAGGATATATCCTTGAGTTGAAACACTGGGAATAGTGTGGATTAATTTTACTTGTGCTCTTGGTGAATTCCTCATGCTCTTCACTACAAGAATTCTATAAAAGAAATTAAATGGTATTCCCTTTTTAATAGCTATTGAAAATAAAATCGCAGTTTGTTGTCTCCTAGTTAGGAGTCTTTTAAGCATGTGAGTAGATCCTACCTTTTTGAACTCACCAAGTACTTGTGACTAAAAGTCAGCTAATCTTAAAGCTCTTAAAATAGGTTTGTATACATAGAATAAAGATGCATTTGGTACTCGTTAAAGTTAAACCAAAAATTGAGGAATAACATGTTTATCACTAATTAAGCAATATTTTTGTATAGTGCTAGTAAAAAAATAAAACTTGGAAATACAAACAATCTGGTAAAGTACAGAAGTGTAATAGTTTCGTAAAGTTAGAGTTATTTAGCCATAGAGCAGCTGGATCCAATGAATAGGACATGAGACTGGGAGTCAAGAGGACTTTAGTTCTGTTCCTATTTCTTCCATTCACATGCTATGTGATTTTGGGCAAGTCACTTAACTTCTGTATTTCAGTTTCTTCATCTGTATATACTTTTTGAGGATAATACTTGTTTATGTAAAGCACATTAAGATGTATTGATTAATAAAACACATAACAGATTGTGTTTGTTACTTATACATACATTAACACGTGTATATGTATAAGCACATATGCATGTTTTCTCCTTTATTTCTCTATGTATTTGTTTTTGTGTTTATTGTTAAAATAAATCAACGTTTTTTCTTATTCCTGTTATCAATCATGAATCAGAAAAATTCATAATAGAAAAAGTAGCTGAATTTTACATGATTTGTGTGTGTATGCGTGTAGCATCTCCACCATAATGTTACAACGCAATTTTTTGCATTTAATTTCCTTTTAAAAAGGAAACAAAATAAAGGTGCCAGTATCTTTGATTGTATGAGAAATATACACCTGAATATGTAATCATTAGTTCAGACCTGCAATTCCAATATCCTTAGTCTGGCTGTGCATTCTAGGTTGAATTGTGCTCTACAGATCATGCAGATTTTGAAATTGATGGGGAGAGGGTCCAGAGGATATGATGCCAGTTTTGCAAAGCTTTTTCTTATGCTGTTTCCCATGTATGAGAGATGGTTTGCCAAGATACATTCAAGGGCAACTTGGGATGTGAGATCCCATGGTATCTTTTGAAAAGATTAGGTGATAACCTTGGCATCCTGAAAATCCCATCTTCTTTGAGTTCTGGTCCCTGTGTATATTCCACTGTGGGTACACATACTCTCCATGTGCCCAGAGCTGGAGAATTTTGAAAGCAGTGTCCGTTGGTCTGCACATGTGTCCTGGCTCACCTTGTGTCTCTGACCAAGGAGATAAAGGGCAGGGTGAGCTGACTGCCTCTCTAGTTCCTTCCCACTGCTGCTTGGTCTGGACTGGAACCCCCAATGTCCCCGAAGCTTCAACTTTCACATTTTTTGCAAAACTCCATCTTCGTTGCCTGCAAGCATGATTTCAAGTTATGTACTTGCCAAACTAGCAGTCCAAGAGCTCTTCTTTCTGGGCATCTGCGTAAATGCTGAAAAAATCTGTTCCCTCTATTAGCACGCCTGCTGCGAGTTTTGCACGAGATTCAGTAGATAGGGCACGAGTTATTCTCATTGCTCCCAGCTGGCCCAGACAGTTTTGGTTCCCTAACCTCCTACACATGTCCCAGTCTTTTGGCTCAAGGGAACAGCAATATCAGGCATCCCAACTGATGGTTGCTTCATCTTGGAGCCTGGTTTTCGGATGGGCATCATCCTTACAGCAATTGTGTAAAGCTGTACAGAACATCCTTTCTAATAGTAGTAAGGATTCCAGTAGGAAATATTACCTAGCTAAGTGGAAGCATTTCTCTGACTGGGCACATCAAAGACATATTTCTCCAGAAGACACAGATATTCCTTTCATTCTGGACTATATTCTTTCCTTGAAGAAAGCAGGTTTGTCCAACAGTTCCTAACAGGCCCACTTAACAGCAATCAGTGCATATCATTTGTCTTCACAGGGCTACTCGATCTTTGCCTACCCTCTACTAGCAGATTCTGGAAAGGCCTAATCAGAACCTTTCTACCTACTCCTCAATGGGACTTGAACCTTGTTCTCTCAGTACTCACTAATGGTTCAAAAGGAGTCTTAGCTTCTCGGTCCATGTCTCTCCTATCCATGAAGGTTGCATTCCTGGGTAGCCATCGCCACAGCCAACAGGGTTGGTGAGCTTGGGGCGTTGATGGCAGATTCTCCTTGTACTGTATTCCTTAAGAACAAGGTTTCATTATGTTTACACCCTAAATTCACGCCCAGAATAGTCTCTGAGTTTCACCTGAACCAGTCTATCCACTAAGAAGTACTGTGTTCTTCCCGAAGCCTCACGCATCCTCAGAAGAAAGGAGGCCTGTGGCGGGGCGTCGACTCACCAGCACGGCTCCTCCTGCTGGTAATGACTGTGCTATTTCACTGCACCCTGCCAATGAGTTGGACGGGAAAGTTCTGTTCCTTGCACAAAGCGCATGTAGTTGGGCTTTGCTCCAAGAATAGGGTTTGGTTCTCTTTAAAACAAGTATCCAGTGGCAATGTAACCATTGTTGATGCCACAAGAAAGTAAATGGCTTATTTGCTTATACAGTCACTTTATTACTATAGGCAAAGCACTAGCAACAGCTATAGTCAAGGCCCTGTGAGCTCTGTATCAAATTTGACCTAAATTCTGCAGCAAGGGACCCAAGGTCTATGGAACTCAAGTACAGAAGGCTGGAAATTATGATGTCAATTTCAAATAAATTAAAATATGGATGTTTGTATTGTATTAAATATGAAAACTAATAATACAACCAGTACACTATTCCTTGGGTTACTTAATTAAAAAATGATAAAAAAAATTGTCATGAACTCTAATTATATCTATGGGATAGAACGTGAAAGTATCATAAAGTGAAAATTTCTTAAAAATTTTGTGGTGCTTGCCCTGAAACTTATGTAAAAATTGGTCTTTTTATAGGTAAGTGTACAAATGATGTTATTTTAAAAGCCATACATGCTGTAGCTGGAAAAAAAATAAAACAAAGATGTTTCAATTTGATTGGTTACCCTAAAAAACTAAAAGGTATCAATATATTTTGTAAAGACCCTTAAAATAACAATATTTTCCTGTAAAAATCACATCCACCTAACTCGTCCACCTAGTTTTCTTCCAAGCACTGGATGTTTGGAAACTTCAGCCTTGCAACAAGCTGCATGCTGTTTTTCACACAAGCCTAAAGAGCCGGCTGTGAATACTCTTGAACACTAGGTGGCATGCGTTTAATATGACAACATAACTACAGCTGTCTGACAGAAAAAATGAGTGTTAAAACATGAAAATGAGGTGCCACCTAATATTTCCAGTATGGTAAAGACAGCTGTGAGAAACAAGGAGCTGGCCTTTTCAGAGTTTTCCTTGACAGTTTATACTAACGGCTATCTTTTTTTTTTTTTTAAGGTTTATGTGTCTGGTAAACTCTCCATTTACCTATAAGCCGTTTTAAAAAAATATATCTTCTTTTTAAGGTGCTGGGTGCTTTGCAGCTTGAACTAGATGCACAGAATTTTAATTTAGACTGGTGCTTCAGGCACTTTGGGTAAGGGCCGTGACAGTAAATACCCCGTGGAAACACATTATTCCATCCCTGGATCCTGAAGTCTATAAAAAGCATTTTATTAGACACTTTTAAAAAAATGGAATTATTCTTCAGGACTTGCTTTCTTACCAAATCTTTAGATGTTTTCCTTAGCAAAAAAATTATGCCTGTCACTTTTTTGTTTTATAAAAATTAAAATCTGGGTTTATGCAAGTGTTTATTTTGTTGCCTAGATGGGTGCTGTAGAAGAGCCTAAATCTTATAAGTGAAAAATATGGGTTTATTTTGGGGCTTACATTTACTAATATACCATCTCATATAATAACTTCCATAAAATGTGATGGTCTTATGTGTGCTGTTATATCATGGCACATAGAGGATGAAAAACTTAACTAATTTAAAAACATATTTTTGGGCTCTAAGATGCAGTAAATGTTTTTAGGTCACATAGAAATGCCAAGATACATAGAAGGGTATGGGATTATGAAAAAATGTGTCAGACCAAAGTGTATACTGTAGTTGCTGAACCATGGTAGAGAAAAGAAGGCAAATTAATTTCTTGTCATTAGTTTTGTTGATGTAACCAGAACATCAACTTGCATCCAAAAGGGATAGTATACAGAGAAAACTAAAAAAAAAGTTTGCTCATCTGTTCCTTTCTCTTGGCTGCAGGAGTTACATGCATAGCAACCCTTTTTCATCTGTCTGCCACCCTTAATATTTTTAGAGATACTTGTCATACACAGTTCTAGATCACAGATGTGTACATTTATGAACTGTCTAGTCTGCCTAGTATAATTGTTAGTCTCACGTCTTCCTTGTTGTTTTTAAGGAGTCTAATCCTGGGATGCTGAGCCCTTTACAGGGTTTGGTCCAAGATCGCTTGTTTAGTAACTGCAGCATTGTAGTGTCCACTGGCAATGCTGTACATTGTACAATGAAAGCTAATTGGGTGAGAGTTGCATCTTAATTAGTGTCTAATTTTCTTCCATTTCTTTTTTGATAGCCACAAGCAGCATGCCACCCTCCCATCTTCAGAATTGTTGATGAAATTTTCAAGTAAGTTTTGGTAACTTTTACAGTGAGGATTTTAAATGTTCTGCTTTTAGACTGAATGTTGATATAAGAGGTATATTGGTTAGAAACATAGAGGACTGTGAGTTCGGAATTCTGGGGCCTAACTGAGTCACTGTTTAAATATGTGATCTCTGATAAACTCTGAACCTTAGTTTACTGTTTTGTAAAATGAGTATAACCTGTGTTGTGTAGTATTGTGAAACCTAATGAATGTGGAGCACCTTGAGATCCTCATATAAAAGGCATTATGGCCCAGATCCACACAGGTGACTCAGGCATTGCAGTTCCTAATTTTTAGGTACCTAGAATATCACTGGAACAACAATGGGATCCACAAGCCAGCACACTAGGCAGAGAGCTGCCTAACTAGCCAATGGGAGATGCTGATGAGAGGGGTGTAACCTATGCCCTGCCCCTCTCACAGAGTCAGGAACCCAGGCTTCCATCTCTGCTTGCACTCAACAGCCAGGAACCCCTCTCCTAGAATCAGGTGGCTTAGGTGGCTAATCTGTATTTTGCAAGAATGAGTTAGGTGCCAGCCTCACTCCCCTCAAAATGGTGCAGGGAAGAGAAGAAGGAGGTGGTGGTGCAGTTGAGTCAGCAGTTATAGCACTTATCCAGGATGTGGGAGACTTGGGTTTGATTTCCCCCTCTGCCTGATTCTGAGAGTGGATTTGAACAGCTATCTCTCAGCTCTCATGAGAGTGCCCAAACTACTGGGCTAAGGGATATTCTGACATGGGTCTCCCTCAGTCTCCTGCTGAAGCTGTTCCACTATGTATAAATAGAGGCATTTTGTCAAAGAGAGAAAGTTAGAGAATGACTCTCTAGCCTGGCGGTTGGGGCACCCACTTGGGAGGTAGGAAACCCAGGGTCCAGTCTCCCTGCTCCAGTGACTTTTCTCTCCTGAGAGTTGGGAGATTCCTGTTCAGATCCTTTCTCAGAATCAGGCAGAAGGGGGAATTGAACCAGGGTCTCCCACATCCAGAGGTGAAAGTAATTTAAAGGACTTATCGGTACTCTGGAGTCCTGAACAGCGGGTGTGGCCTCGGCTGGAAGAGGCGGGGCCTTTGAATTCCCCGGGCCCTTTAAATCCTGGGGCTCCAGCTGCAGCTGGGAGCCCCGGGGCCTTTATCACCCCCGGATCTCACCGCTGCAGAGGCGACTGGGAGCCCCAGGGCTCAGGGGCGATTTAATGGGCCCTGGGCTCCTGCCACTACCACAGGGGAGCCTTGGGCCCTTTAAATCCCCACCTGAGCCCTGTTGCCGCTACCCCGGGGCTCCAGCGGGGCTTGGGCAGCGCTTTAAAGGGCCAGGGGCTCTGCCGCTGCGGGGAGCCCCGGGCCCTTTAAATCCCCAGCCGGTCTGGTCCGGCATGGCATACTGGCTGTTGCCGGTGGGCCGTACTGGCTTACTTTCACCTCTGCCCACAACCTTGATGAGTGCTCTAACAACTGGATTAAAAGTTATAAGGTGGGCAGTGGTGGCACCATGACCACTACCTGCTGCCGCCACATTTTGAATGGGGCAATGCTCTGAGTACACCTAGAGGAGAAAGTTCTGGAAGTGAGACAGGCATTTTTCCATCTGTTCTCACGGGGGCGTAGATGGGAAATAGGTGTCCAGATGCCTAGAATGAAGCAGCAGTGCACTTGTCCAGAAACAGAAATTTAGGAGCCTAGGGAACGTCTATAATAGAAATTTAGGTGCTGAGTGAGTTTAGGCTTCTACAGTGTTGGGCGGCAGCCACGTGGGTTTTTTGTGGATCGCAGTGATGCCTTAAATTGGGATTTAGGTGCATAAATCTGTGCTTTAGGCATCTAAGTCCCTTTGTGGATCTTGGCCCAAGAACTATTGTTGAACAACCGACTAGATTATACTTTGGCCCTCAAAACTGAATTTGTTTTATATTTCAATACAAACTTGTGGTTGAAATATAGTATATTAAAAATGTAAATACTCAATAATTATTGTACTGTTGGCAGTGTAAGTAAAGACTTGAGGATTAACTAAAATATTTGCCCCTGTTGATAAGACATCACACAAGTCTGCTGGCTATCTTCAACTATGACACTGAATCTGATGTTTATATTAGTAAGGTATTGAACAACCAGTAGATAAGGAATGTGAGTTTTTCAGTGCATTAAAAATAACCTGAAGCATTATACACAATTCGCCACATGGGGGCTTCCAATTCTTTGTAGTGGGTTTTCAGTGTTTTCTTTTTTCCTTTACTTGACTATCACTTGCACTCATTTATTTATATCATTCTTTTAAAAAGGCAAATAGCCTGTTTCACACTGATGAAGTAGCAGTTTTATAACATGATGGTATATTTAGTGTAGACCAGACATTTATGAGCCTCTGCTCATCAAATGTTCTCCTTCATAAGGAAAAGCAGCTTTTAGGGATATATCTGTTTCCTGGGAATTGCATTAGATTGGATTTACAGCTCAGATGTGAGGTGTTCGCTGGCGTAGGATTTGCTTTTTTCAATGACAGAATCTTAAAGTTGACCTGTCCTCGGGAAGGGCGAAAGTTTCTTTCACAATTATTTAAATATCGAGGGATCTCCTTGGTGGTAGTTATAGAACATCTTTGATTGATGAGTTCCCTGATTAAGATGCAGGTGAGATGCTATTTCATATACATTTGGGAATCACTTAGTTTTCAGGGTTTTGATGTCTCAGAATGATAGTAAATTATAATCAGGGACCTGTGGGTTCTGTGGTATATACTAGACCTAAATTCTGCAACAAGGGTCCCGATTTCTGTGGCATAAAACTTTGCAGCAAATTTAAATTCCTTTTTACAGCATGCAATAGATGGGGGTGAGAGGGGGATAGGAAACCCTTAAAGAAAGTTTAAATATACATTCCCTTCTGATTTTGGTTGTGAATATGCTGCAAAACCAGTGGGATTGTCTAGAATTTATTTTGAACTGTGGAACTCTTTGCCAGAAGATGTTGTGAAGGCCAAGACTATAACAGAGTTCAAAAATGAACTAGATAAATTCATGGAGGATAGATTTATCAATGGCTGTTAGCCGGGATGGGCAGGGATGGTGTCTCTAGCCTCTGTTTGCCAGAAGCTGGGAATGCACAACAGGGGATGGATCACTTGATAATTACCTGTTCTGTTCATTCCCTCTGGGGCACCTGGCATTGACCACTGTCAGAAGACAGGATACTGGGCTAGATGGACCTTTTGGTCTCACCCAGTATGTCATTCTTATGTTCTTCTGTTCCTTCTTGTGCTGTTGTATACAATTAGGCAAATCCTGGACCTTTGTCAAGGCCAAGCACACAAGGTTGGTACAGGGACCTTTGTAGGAAATGAGGGAAGGAATTGTCTATCCTAGACCACACTTGATATGTCTACACTGCAATTAAAAATCTGTGGCTGCCAGCTGACTCAGGATTGGGCTTGCAGGGCTGCTTAATTGCAGTGTAGATGTTTGGGCTTGGGCTGCAGCCCAGGCTCTAGGACCTGCGAGATGGGAGAGTCCCAGAGCCTGGGCTGCAGCCCAAGCCTGAAAGTTTACATCGCAATTAAATGGCCCTGTGAGCTCAAGTCAGCTGGCCCATGCCAGCTGTTTAATTTCTGTGTAGTTGGGTTTGAGCATTGGCCTGCTAAACCCAGGGTTGTGAGTTCAATCCTTGAGGGGGCCATTTAGGGATCTGGGGCAAAAATCTGTCTGGGGATTGGTCCTGTTTTGAGCAGGGGGTTGGACTAGATGACCTCCTGAGGTCCCTTCCAACCCTGATATTCTATGATTCTATAGTGGCAGTGGAGCTATGCTTCATCTACTAGCACAGCCAGAGAGTTGTAGTAGCCCTTGCTGTTACTGTAGCCCAGTTTGTGGCTGAGGCAGGAAAGACCAATGGATCCATGTACTTACAGATCTACCAGTCCCTCTCCCCAAATCATTTTGTATACATGAAAAAAGTGCAGACCTGCACAAATCCCATAGTGTACTATTTGGGATCCTCTGTGACCATGCTATGGGGAGTCACAATGTATGTCATTTATTGGTTTGTTGTGATGTATAAAGCAGTATTTAAAACAATGGGGTTGTAAGAGTGAAGGAATATCCCTGTCATGCAGATTTTCTTTGGCAGAGTGGAAAACACAGACATTAGAAATGGAAATTTAGTCACTCTCCATAACAAAGCAGGACTGTGCCCACAGTATATTTTCTAAAATGTTGCTTCATCTGATTTTAGAAGTCCACCACTTCACTTGGGATGCTATTAGACAGCCTGATAGGCCCTATTGTAAGGAAGTTTTTCTTGTTATTTGGCATCAGCTTCCCTTTTTTTTAGTTTCATTTGATTGTGTCTAATTAATAATCCCTGTGCATCACACTAAATAGTTCCTATCTGTTTTTGGCATCGGACCTTGCAGTTCTTCTTAGAGTTCTTGCATATGTCCATCATGCTGTAGGTGTGTGTCTGTCTCATGCACTGGTGCCAGAGAGTTTTCCCTAATGTTATCTGTGGGGTGGCCCTGCCCATTCCTTGCTCCTCATGCGCTTCACGGAGGTATAAAGAGTGAAGCCCTGCCCCTCCTACAGTTCTTTTTTACCATCAGTTGGAACATTTTGTGTTCACAGACTTGTTCCCTGGGAATAAAGTTGTGCATACTTAGTTTAGTTATTTGCCTATAGGACTGTTTTTCCTCCTTGGGATGTTTTTTCTGTCTTATTTTCATTTTATCTGAGTATTTTCCCTTTTCTTTGTTTTGGATCTGGCAGGCCGCCAGGCCTTGCCAGTACCATGGGAGCCTATGCTAAGGTCTCCGGAGTTTAAGCCTTCCTCAGTGATGACAACAGACCACTTGTAGCTGATTATGGTGAGGCAACCAGCTCTGTTGGTTTCAACATAGCTCTAGGCCTATGTGGATGTGAGAGACCTTTTATGCCTGTTGGTACTGCCATTGCTGTTGATTTATGCCTGTTGGTACTGCTATCAGCACTGTTACAGGTACTGTGCTCAGTACAGTCTGCTGCAGCACCATTGGCTTTAGATCTAGTCCCACACACTTAATTGACCTCTGTATCTACCTCCAGACATCTGGTACCAGCTCCACCTTGTTGTTCAGTAATGATAGCTTGAAAGCCTTCTGTGCTGCCTGTGGTACTGCATTCCCAGCATATTTAACAGTCCTGGTCTCCAAGAACCTTTACCGTACCATACTGCCTGGCTACTCTGATTAGTCCTCAGAATCTAAAGTGGGTTCCTGAGTTTCACACTTAAGGACTTCCTCTAGGTCTCATTCTTGTTCCCACAGAAGGCATTATGAGAAAAGCAGAGCTAAGGATTGGGAGGCCTGGCTGACCAGCCTCCTCAGTGGCCTTACTGGATGCTGTTGTGGCACTGAGGTAATCATCCACAATTTCTTTCTATCCTCTCTTCCACTTCCTCCCCTGTCCCTCTTCAGGGACCCTTCTCATGAGTCTGTACTGAGACAAGAAGTGCAGACTCTATGTTCTTTGGGTGTTGTAGAAAAAGTGTCTCCACTTCATTAAGGCAGGAGGTTTTATTCCCTATACTTTTTAATACCTGTAACCAGAGAGGCTCTCAGATCCTGTCTGGATCTTCGAAACCTAAATAAATGCATCAAGAAGTTAAAGTTCTGTATGGTGTCTCTTGCTACTATTATCTCTTCCCGAGATCTGTCAGGGATTCCCATTGTCTCCACCTCTCCCTTCCATTACTTTGGTAATTTATGCTTCAGCTATGGGGTGGTGGAGAGTGTCTTTGGGTGATCTTCAGACTCAAGGATTGTGGTCTACCCATGAGGCTCAGTTACACATAAACATTCTAGAGATGCGTGGAGTATTCCGTACATGTTACAGTTCCTGTTTCACATTCAAAGCAAGACTGTCCAGGTGACAACACCACAGCATTTTTTTATCTGAACAAACAAAAGGGTTTGTTCACACAACATGTGCCAAGAGGCAATCAAGCTGTGGAATTTATGCATACAGAGCTTGGTCATCCTTAGGGTGTCTCACCTGCTGGGTGTTCAAAATGGCCTGCTAGATTGCTTGAACAGATCCGTCAATGTGGACAACGAATGGTCTCTCAATGTAACCATCCGAGCTGTGGTATATCACATGGGGTTTCCAAAGGTGGATCTGTTTTTGACTTGGCAAAACAGGAAGTATCTTCATTTCTGTTACAGGGCAAGTCACGGCCCCGGGTCAGTTTTGGGCACTTTCCTGTTCCTGTGGTACCCACAATACCCCTGATTCCCAATGTCATTTTCTCAGGCTAAAACGATTGAGGCAGAATGATCCTTATAGCTACAGCCTGGCTGAGGCAGCCACAGTATTCTGATTTATACAATCTATCTACTTGGGGACTCTTACTCATGCCACTAACCACAAATCTCCTATTCAGAATCATGGGTGAGTGCTACACCCGAATCCTGAGGTGCTGCATATGAGAGCATGGTTCATCAGTGATTAAATGCACAGGAGGTTCACTGTTCAATGGCAGTCCAGAATGTTCTCCTTAATAGCAGAAAATCTTCCACAACAGTGGCTTACCTTAGTAACTGGAAGTGCTTCTTCATATGGGCCTCACATGATGTGTCACTGACTCAAACAATTCTGGACTAGTTCTTACATCTTAAGGAGTCAGGTCAAGCCCTCAGCTCCATTAGAGGACATCTGGCTGCTATCTCAGTGTATCACTCGCGAATCAATGGTAGAATTGTTTTTACTAATCCTATCACGACTAGATAGTTTGTTCCCACTGATTCGGGGTCCACTGCCAACTTGGGATTTAAATTTAGTGTTGTCTACTCTTATGGGACCTCCATTTACCGTTTAGCTTCCTGCTCACTTCTGCGCCTCTCAATCTAGGTGGCTTTCATAGTGCCTGTCACCTCCTTTAGGAGAGTGGGAGAGTTATGTGCACTGTTTTATACAAAGACAAGGTACAATGTAGTCCTCACTCTAAGTTTCTGTGTGAGACTGATTTTCACCTGAATTAGTCAATATACTTACCTGTTCCCTTCCAAATGTCACATGCTCACAAAGATGAATGAAGGCTGTGCACTCTGGATGAACATATGGCTTTTGGCTTTTTACCTGGTCAAAAAAATGCCTTTCAGAGTTCTTCTCAGCTCTTTGTTTCCTATGTGGAACAAATGAGAGGTCAACCTGTTACAGCACAGCGACTGTCAAAATGGATTACCAGCTGCAACTATGTGGTGTTCTTTGAGGAGTGTCCCTGTGGGTGCTCCACTTTGCACCCTGCACTTCTAATCGGAGATTTATAGTAGCAGTGCCCCCGTTGGCCTCACACGTGCGGCAGCCATCTCTCATCGCTCCAAGTAGTTACCCCACGTGCGCAGCCAACCATCCCCCAGTTCCTTCTCTACTGCCTTTGGCTTCGGTCGGAATGACAGCAGCACCCTCACAGCTTTAGCTATTTCTATTATTTCAGTTCTTTCCCAGCTAGTATCTCTCTCCCTTAATTTCTCCTTTAATTTTCTTTTACCATATTAAAAAAAACCTTTGTTTTCCTACTCCTCCCCTTTCCCCTGCCTCAAGCAGGTAACTTCCAATGACAGAGGCATAAGAACGGGATTATTCCTATTCTTCCTTTCCACATAGCCTCTCAGAAATGCCTGGTTGTCCAGGCTTCAAACACTGCCTCACTTGCAGACTGTCTGTACTGGTCTCTGATTGCTATGCACAGTGTGTCCATTGCCTGAGGGAAACACATATATCTCAAAAGTGTCCCCACTGCAAAAAACTGACAGCTAGGACAAGGAAGGCTAGGGATCTCCAGTTGAAACTCCTGATGATGGAGAAATCCCTCAGACCAGCTTCCAACCGGAGTCCAGGATACCTCCTGGCCAACGGTCGCCAACAGCAGTCTCAGACATGGGATCCTCCTCTAAAACGGCTACTAAGGACTCTGTTCCTAAAAAAGCCACAAAAAAGAGGTCTCACTCTTCACCGTAGCGAGATTTGCCTCAAAACAAGAGATCTCCGACCACAAAGTCTGCCCCGGTATCAATGGCACTGAGAGCACTGGACTGCGAGGAGCTAAAGACCTGGTGCGGTCCAGCTCTCACGGAGGTGCATGTAGCTCCTAGCTCGGCACCGGTGGAGCCAAAGAAAACACAGACAATGGCGCCACCTGCTGCACCAATACAATGCAGCAAGCCTGCGGCACCAGCATCCCTCCCTCTGAGATCCAGCTAGAGGCCACCTCTGTCCTTGGTACTGTGCCTCCCTGTACCGCAACAATTTATCAGACAGGCAGACCTCCTGATTACTTCAACTGCGGGGATTCCGATTTTTGGCACCAACGGCACCCCAGTCAGACTGGGACCAATCTTGGCTGCTACCCCCGCAGGCTCAGTCCCTCCTCTTTCCAGCGAGGAAGGGATGTACACCCTTTGCCATTCCTCACCCAAACCTGGACTCTCGCGGCACCAAACATCTCTGGATGGAAGAGGCTGGCAGGTTCCACAATGGGTGCCACCTTCCATGGCTCTCCCATTGAACTGGACATACTGGGACCCATGGGCATTATACATCAGGCCCTCCAACCCACCCAGGTCCAGAACCTTCGCCAGCTGCCCAGAAACGCTGGAGGAGGAAGTAGAAGAACCTGAGGATGCGCCTTAGGGCTATACCCTCCCACCTACCCATATCTCTTCTTCATCACCAGATGAAATAATAATGCCATCATCCCCCACATCTAGAGATGACTTTAAATCCTTTCAAGATCTGTTTAAACAGGTAGCAGACTTTCTTATCACTTTCTAACATATCACTGGCAGAGCTACCAGAGACACAGCATAAACTGACAGATATACTTCAGGCTTCTCCATCAGCCAAGGTTGCACTACCCATTAATGCAGCCATTATGGACTGGAAAAAAGTTGGCAGCTCCACCTTCTTGTAAGAGATCCGATAAGAAGCACTATGTACCGGCTAAAGGGGCTGAGCTTTTGTTCATCCACCCTACCCCAAACTCATTGGTGGTAGAATCAGTTAATCGAAGGGGGAAGCAACCTCAGTCAAGAACCACCACTTATGATAAAGACTAGAAAAGACTAGACCTTTTTGGAAGGCAAGCCTACTCATCGGCTACCCTCCGATTCCACATAGCCAACTACTCGGCCTTACTAGCCAAATACATGCACAACATGTTTTCTCAGACGGCAGCCTTTATTGAACATCTTCCAGGAGACAAAACGGAGCAATACAAGGCCAACATTGCAGAAGGTTCCCTCATTGCCAGAACGGCCCTGCAGGCTTCTCTTGATTCTGCTGACATGGTGGCACAATCCATTGCTATGTCCGTAGTCATGCGTAGGGCTTCCTGCCTCCATCTTTCCGGGTTTCCCAGGGAAGTTCAAGCAACCGTAGAGGACCTTACCTTTTGAAGGCCAAAAATTGTTTGCAGCAGGCACAGACATCTCCTTGCATACCTTGAAGGACTCCTGGGCAACATTAAAGACACTTGGAATCTAAGTCCCTGCAAACAAAAAGAAACAAGGCAGATCCTATAATCAACGATTCCGGACTGCCCCATACACCCAGCCTCAAAGACACTACAACCAGTGCCACAAACAGAGGCAGACGAGACGCAGACAACCATAAGATCAGTTGTCTACGTCTCAACCATCCACTTCGAGGCAAATGTTTTGAAGTGTTGGTCGAGGACACGAGAACTCCACATTCTCCAATCCTAGAGTTACATCCAATCTTCAGTCCATTTGGAGACCGCCTGTCACCATTCTACCCAGTATGGAAAACCATCACCATGGACAAATGTGTTCTGGAAATTATTCAGAAGGGCTACTCCATCCCTTTTATCTCTATTCCACCTACCCAGCCCCCTTCCCTGTCTCTCTTTGGGGACCCCTCTCATGTGCACCTGCTAGAGCAGGAAGTAAACCATCTCCTACAATTAGGTGCCGTGGAACCCGTGCCAGTTCAACACAGGGGCAGAGGGTTTTATTCACATTACTTTCTCACTCAGAAGTAAATAGGCGGATGGAGGCCCATTCTCAACTTGTGAAAACTAAACAAGTTTGTGAGAAGACAACTTTTCAAGATGGTGACTCTAGCAACTATAATTCCAGCATTGGAGAAAGGAGATTGGCTCTCGGCCCTCGACCTACAGGATGCTTACTTTCATGTTACCATTCACACGGCACACAGCGGTTCCTGTGATTCACTCTAGGGAACCTGCATTACCAGTACAGAGTGCTCCCCTTCGGCCTGTCCACTGCCCCAAGAGTGTTTTCCAAGGTTCTCGCTGTCGCAGCAGCACACCTTCGCAGGCAGGGTGTGATCATATTTCCCTACCTAGACGACTGTCTTCTAAAAGCACCTGCACACAAGGCAGCAATCGATTCCACTCACACCACTATAACCCTATTTACGAACCTAAGGTTACAAATCAACCTCCAAAAATCCACTCTGACACCCACCCAGCAGTTGGACTTTATAGGGACGCACCTCGACTGCCTCACAGCAACAACATGACTACCCCAATAATGATTTCTTACTTTAACAAAGCTAATTACAACAGTAATAGACAGCCCACAAATATATGCCAGAACGTGCCTACAACTCCTGGGGCACATGGCGGCTATGACGTTTGTCATGAAACAAGCCAGGCTCCACAGGAGATGCCTACAGGCCTGGCTCTGCACTGTCTATGTTCTACCCAGGCACTCACTCAACAGATGTCTTACAGTGCCCAGCAGGGTAAAAGACTTGCTCATGTGGTGGACACAACCTACGAACGTTTGTTCAAGTGTCCTCTTCCAACAAAACCTCCAACTGTAACAATCACCACAGATGCCTCTCTGATGGGATGGGGGGCACACTTGTATGAAAATATCATCCAAGGTCGCTGGTCCCCAGCAGAGTCCAATCTCCACATAAATCTATTGGAGTTAAGGGCAGTCTGAAACGCCTGCCAGCACTTTCTCCCTTTGATCTGCAATAGGACTGTCCAGATTCTTATGGACAACTTGGCGACTATGTTTTATGTAAATCACCAAGGAGGGGCCCGATCTCATTCCCTCTGTGCAGAAGCAGTCTGCTTCTGCCAGTGGTGCATCTCCAACAACATACACATCATAGCATCCTACTTGCCCAGACGCCAGAATGCAACAGCAGACCACCTAAGCAGGAACTTTTCACAAACCCACAAATAGGAGATAGATCTCGGAATACTAAAAACTGTATTCAGACAATGGGGATTCCCCTCAATAGATCTCTTCACAATGGCACACAATGCAAAGTGCCTGCAATTCTGCTCTCAGGCCAGACAGGGGCATGACTCTCTGGGAGACGCCTTCCTTCTGAAATGGGAAGCGCCACTACTGTATGTTTTCCCCCCAATCCATCTATTAAGCAATGTCCTCCACAAGATCAAGCAAGACAAATCAAGGGCCGTCATCATTGCACTAACATGGCCCAGACAAACATAGTTTCCATACCTGAAACAGATGGCAGTGACACCATTACGAACCCTTCCCCTTGTGCTTCATCTGCTGACGCAGGATGCCTCCGGCACCCCAACATTTCAGTATTCTATCTCAAGGCCTGGCTAATCCATGGATGATGGGACTTGAGACACACTGTTCTAAGGAAGTACAAGATATACTACTGAACAGTCTGCGGCTGACCACATGAAAGACATACACACACAAGTGGAAACGATTCTGTACTTGGTGCCAGAACAAGCAGATTATTCCACAGTCGGCCCCGCTACCCATAATCCTTGATGACATATTAACACTAAAATAATTGGGCCTATCTACTAGCTCACTCAGAGTGCATCTAGCAGCCATCACCTCCTTCCACTCTAAGGTGCTCTTTGCTCACCTGCTGACTAAACGCTTCATCAAGGGCATAGAGAATACTTATCCCACACTACAGGACCCCACCCCCATGTGGGATCTCAGTCTTGTTCTCCGTGCTCTCATAGGCAAACCCTTTGAACCACTAGCGACCTGTTTGTTGTTGCACCTATCCATGAAGGTTGCCTTCCTAATAGCAAGAAGGGTGGGAGAGCTGGGCACCCTAATGGCATACCCACCTTACCACATTCCTCAAAGCCAATCCTACGACCACATCCTAAGTTCATACCCAAGGTCACCTCCCCCTTCCATCGCAACCAGCCCATTTACTTACCTGTATTTTTCCCCAGACCGCATGCTGACAACAGGGAGGCCTCCCTTCACACACTAGACGTCCGCAGAGTGCTAGCATTCTATATAGAAAGAATAAAAACATTTAGAAAATCATCCAGGCTATTTGTATCCACAACAGAACATTTCCAGGGCCAAACCATCTCCAAGCAGAGACTATCAAATGGATATCTACATGTATCCAGTTATGTTGCCCAAACTATAATCTGCAAGCTCCCTCTGGACTTTGCGCACACTCCACCAGAGCACTATCCATGTCTGTGGTCTTTCTCAATAATGTACCCATCACAGACATTTGTAAAGCAGCTACCTGGGCATCAGCCCATACCTTTACCAAACACTATGCATTAGAACAACAATCAGCTGCAGATGCTCAGTTTGGACTCTTGGTGCTCTCCACCGCACATAAATCAACTCGAAAGTCCCTCCCCTCCACTGAGGGTTACTGCTCTACAGTCACCTAAAGTGGAGCACTCACAAGGATACTCCTAGAAGAAGAGAAAGTTACTTACCTTGTGCAGTAACTGAGGTTCTTCGAGATGGTTGTCCCTGTGGGTGCTCCACTACCCGCCACCCCCTCTACTGCGGAGTTTCATGTCAATCCTCTGGGGTAGAGAAGGAACTGGGGGACTGTTGGCTGCGCACGCGGGGTAATTGCTCGGATTAGCGCAAGACGGCTGCCATGTGTGTGTGGCCTACCGGGGCACTGCTACTACAAATCTGCAATTAGAAGTGCAGGGCGCCAAGACACCTAAAGCAGAACACCCACAGGGACAACCATTTTGAAGAACCTCAGTTACTGCACAAGGTGAGTAACCTTCTCTTACACTGTCAAGGGCACAACTCTGCTTAGAAACTGACAGCATGCTTCACCATGGTGCATCTGGCTTCTGCAGCATTGGTGGGAGATGTCCCTATTCTGGACATTTGCAGGGTAACATAGTCTTCTGTTCATACTTTCACTAGACATTATGCATTCACTGCTGCATCAAAGAAAGATGCAAATATGGGAAAAGCAGTCCTACTGTCCCGCTTCTGATGAGACTCCAACCCCCACTACCTTTAGAACAGTTTGAGAGTCACCTACAGTATAATGGGAATATGCAAGCACTTGAAGAATTAAAAATGGTTATCATAACTATAGTTCTTCGAGATGTGTTGCATATGTTTATTATGTGACCCACCCTTCTTCTCCAATGCATCAAAATCTACCATTGGCATTCCATTGCAAAGGAAATGAAGGATAAGTGGGGTGGCTCTGCCCTTTATGCACTCCATGAGGTGGACCAGGAATGGGCAGGACTGCTCCTACTGGTGTCACTAGGGAAAACTCTCCAGCACTCATGCATGAGACATTACACCCCTACAGTCTAAGGAAAATGTGCAACACATCTTGCAGAACAATAATTGTGAGAAGGTGAGTAACTGTTTTGTTTTTTAATTTGAAAAAGTTTGTTCCCTGCTCTCTTAGTCATTACTAAACTAAGCTACACATATTAGCTATCTCTAATATTTTCTGATAAGTCAGTCCCTCAGCCTCATGTTTATTTTTGTTGTACTTGTCAGGAGTTGCTCCAGTTTATTATTATCCTTTTGGTAAAGTTGTACCTGGAAATGAACACAATAGTCCCCAGGTTCAGTCACACCAGAGTGCTTAGAGAGATATTGTTAGAGAAGGATTATTATTTCCTTGCTTCATATTTATTTATGTATACTGTCCAAAATTGCATTAGCTTTTTTGAAGCCATTTTCTATTAGAAACTCATGTCTGAGTTGCTGTCCACCCCTTTGTCTCTTTCAGCATTACTGCTTCCCATGTTTCACATCCTCCCCATTGAGTTTGTGTTTTGGATTATTTTATCCCAGACATATTAGCTTTTGTTTTTCCAAGTTGAATCTTACTTAATTGTTTTCGGCCCATGTATCTAACCTCTGGAGGTTCCTTTATGGTGTTTCTCTGTTTTTGCTGGTTATCACATCTACTTCCAATTTAGTATCATTTCTGAATTTTAGCAATATAATATGTACTCCTCTTCCAGATCATTAATGAAAATGTTAAATAAGACACTAACACTGATTCTCGTGGTATCCCACTAGACCTCTTACCCTGAACTTACTACACTGTTCCCAGGAGAAATGGAGAATCTGCTTTTTTTATCATTACATTCCTTTCAAAGAGGGGAATGGAAAGTAGCTTTCCCTGCCCTTAGCTTTAGCTGCCTTTACAGTGCCTGCCCCACTTGCTCAGGTTTACTGATTATGTCCAGTGGAGCGACAATTAGAGCGTTTCACCTGCCTGACATATGAGACTGCCTGGATTGATTTTGTGATTTCACAACTGAAATCATTGCGGAATGCACGAGGCTCTGATTATGGTACTGCTGTACCAACTGCAGCTGAACAATATGATTTTGGTACAACATTCATCTCTGTTCATGTTGCTGTTTACTTTTCTAAATCACTAACCAGTTATATCTCATGACTTAGCTGTAACGGTATTACTAAATGATAAAGTTCTATCTCCTTGTGTGGTCTTTTCAAATTTTTAAATCTTTTCATTGCCTAATCTGAATATGAACTTTCTTCTTGGAACCTACAGTAAGAGAGCAACTGTGAACAACGAACAATTTTAGGCAATGTGAATGTTATTCTTGCCCCTTGCAAGTGGATTCTACTTGTTGAATTTTAGGCCATGTCTACATGGAGACACTCGGGAAAGTTAAGGCAAATTGACTAAAGGTATGAAATCAATACTAATAAATCAGAGCATGTTAAAGTACCTTCCTCCTCACCCATGCAGATGATCTAATTTAGCAGTAAAGTGCATTTATTTAGCTGTAATTTCATAGAATCATAGATTATCAGGATTAGCAAATGGAGACCTCTTACTCCTGAATGAGAGCATCCATGTGGGGCTTTAATATGCTTTAACTTAGGCACGTTGATGTCACACCTTTAGTTCGTTCGACTTAACTTTTCTGACTTTCCTCTTGTAGGCCAGCCCTGAACTGCTTATGGGCTCTGATCCAGCTAAGCACTTAAGCATGTGCTAAATTTTAAGTATGTGAGTAGTTCAATTGAAACTTAAAGTTAAGTTTGTGCTTAAGTGCTTTGCAGGATTGGAGTCTTAAAAGGCCATTTTTTTTATGCCAGCCTGCTTTTTAATTTTGTCCTTTTTTTCCTTCCCTACAATTTGTTGCAGATGCAAACCCTATCATATAGACTCCTAAGTACGTGGCTGCTCCATTTAGACCTCTAAATGCATGGGTCGCAACTGCAAAAAAAAAAAAAATTAAGCTCAAAGTGTGAAATATTTGTCAAAGGACAGTGTTGTCGTTATCACAAAGGGTGTGTGTGTGTTCTTTAACAAATGTCAAAGTGAAGTTAGTTTCTTCAGTTTTCATGCTGGCATTATAGCCTGATGAGTTCAGACACAGCTCAAGGCAACAATACAGAAAGCATGCTCACTGTCTCGTTACCTTCCTCCAGTTAAAAGCTGTGTGATTAACAGACTAATAATCTGACCTGTCATAATTTAACTTTTCAATGCTCAGGAATGCACTACTGGAAACCGGTGGATCGCCAGAAGTAATGACCATAATACAGGTGTTTACACAGTGTTTTGTTCAAGCTCACCAGAAGGATAACAAGCAGGTTAGTCAAGCTCTATGTTTTAATAACTTTTTAATGAGAGGCTATCAGATTTAGCATTAAAAGAACAATTTTAAATTTGAGAATGCTGATGGAATAAAATGAGCCGATTAATGGTCTCACGTTGCTGCTATAGATGGATGCCAAGACATAGTTGAGGCACTTTAACTGGCATCAAACATAGAGGTGCAAAACCAATATGCCTTTTGCAAAACAGGAGTAATTTATTTGTTCTTATGCTGTAGCATTTCACCAACATAACTTATCATCCTCATATATTCAGCGCTTAATTTGTAATGAAAGAGGCACCAGGGAATTTGGTGCCAGGGCTCAAGCAACTTTTTACATTCATAACTGACGCAGCAAGCCCAGAGGTGCCTGGGCTATGAACTGCCAAGCCTGGCAAGCCCTAGTGCAAATTAAGCACTGCATATATTATATTGTTATCCTGGCCGTGCAGCATTTGCCTGCATGCTGAATTACCGCATGATCCTCAATCTTGGACTGAAAGAATGAGGGAGACCATAGGCAAGTATTTCTTTTGGAGCAGCAGGGATCCTACTGAGCCCTGTGCTGAACGTAATAAGGAAAGAAAACAAAGAAAAATACATATGCCGATACAAAATAGTCAGGTTTGACCATCCAAGAGTTCAGATGAGGTTTAAAATTTCCCCACTCAGGATCTTATTCTCCTCTCATGGTAATTTTACACCACTCTTGCTCAGCTGACTGCGGTGAAATTACTTGTGTTTTTCACAAGCTTAACTGAGAGGAGAATCTGCCCCTCAGCGTTTAAAATCCAAGAACAGGGGACTTGAAAATTCTAATGATATTTATAGGTCACAAGCTTTCTTTAGAGTGGTAGCCGTGTTAGTCTGTATCAGCAAAAAGAACAAGGAGTACTTGTGGCACCTTAGAGACTAACAAATTTATTTGGGCATAAGCTTTCGTGGGCTAAAACCCACTTCATCCGAAATTTACCAAAATTTCTCGCTCTAATCATTTCATTAATTTTTCCAGTCCAGTTTGACATGGCAGAAGCACTGGTTGGGAAGCTATTCTATTACTGAATATATTTCACCTCTAAACAAACTTCTGAGAATTCCTACTCTTTGACTTCCGTATCTTTTTGGGAGATAGTGGTTAGTGAAGGAGTGAGTCTTGGAATCCGTGATATACTTGCCTTAGCATTGTGATTAAATCTGTCTTCTAGCTTCAGGTAGTATGAATTAGGAATGAAACTGCAACTGTCTAATTTAATACGAATAAATGCCACACGCATTAATTCTATTCCACCCTGGCTGCATGTTAGCAGTACATTGTGCAACCCCCGGGAGGCAGGGATGGTGGGTTGGAGATCATATGCAGAAATTCCACACTCTTCAATTTACTAGGGGCTACATTTGTTGTGCTGGCTTTGCATGTGTTTTATGGTGAAAGTTCTTCACTTGATGACATCATGTCATGGATTATTGCCCATTTTTTTATGTGAAGCTGGCTTTAAATATGAAATAGATCTTCTTCATACAATTTATATGTGCATATTCTCACTGCTATAATTAAGGTGGTGCCTGTGAGCATTTCCATTATAAATCTTTTTTTTCAAGAGTTTATAAATCAACTGTAAAATTTGCTACAACTTAACATACAAGTTCTCAGACTAGGAGTACTTCCTATCTAATAAATTTGGTTTAAATCAATTTGATCGTATTGTTTTTGCTTTCTGAATATTATTATTGTTGCAGACATTGCAACTCCACGCAGTATCTTTGGGAACTATTGTATTAAATTTATGAATGGTTTATAAATTCATGGGGACAGATTACCACAGCTCCTTCAGGAACTAAAAATGGGGGGGGGGCGTGATTAAGGCAAGTTGCTGAAACTGTAAACAACCTCAGAGAGGTACCACCCCCTGAGGGGTTAGGAGTGATCTCTGATAGACTTTTAATAAGCCTGTAGGAACTTGTGTTGTTTTTTTATATGTTTTCTTTGTAATGCTTCTTTGTAATGTACTTGTTTAGAAAGATCTGTATGGTAACTGCTGGCAATACACTGTTTATAGCCCTCGGGGAGAAAGCAAGTCACAGATGCTGGCCATTAGGCAAACTGGCTTGCTGCAGTTATCACAGTGTATGGCAGGTTGCTGTGGAGCCTTGAAACCCCTGGTCAGAAGGGAGTAGTACAAGGGTCCCTACCCAGAGACAGGTGACAGCTGGAGAACTGAGACCTGACTGGGCTCTCCTGAAGTCGACCATGGGAGTGGGGAGGGTGCAAATACAGTTAACAGTTACCCTGAAACTGTAACTGTTATTACATGCATTTATAAGATACCCATCTCTATGTCTGCATGTATTTAATGGGACATAAATTGCTCCATTAACATTTCAAATAAGAGGAACACTAAAGACTGAGAATGAAGAAGGATCTGGCCGGTTGTTTGAGACCCCAGGAATTTATAGTTCAGTTAATTGAAAAAAGGCTAGGCAAACAGATGTATCTTGCGAATCTTTCTAAGAACCAGATTGTGTCCACAGAGGTATGCAGAGTAGGAGAGAGTTCGCAGAAAACCCTGTACTCCCCCCAATATAATGGCTGGCCACAATCACAGTCCCTTCTAATTGGTTTTCCTGCAGTCAGGTTCTAGGAAGGCAAACATCTTTATTTTGCTTAAACTCTTTTTATTCTGAAAACTGGCTTTGATTTAAAAATGAAATCAATTTTGCAAGTCAAGTTAATTCAGAATGTGGGTTGTGTCTTGTCTACTAAGCATGCCCAGTGCTGTTTTTTCTTGGGGTTTTTGGTGTGCATATTAATTGACTGCATGTATGCTTTAATATTTTAATTAAGAATTAATTCCTATAACTCCATTTGAACAATATAGATCTTTGGAATTTTGCCAGTTTTGTCATACCAATGATATGTTGGGTGTCATACTTTCATTTTCCTTTAAATTGCTGTTTCAAAAAAAAAAGTGTGTGGGGGAGGGAAGACACAAAGAAAAACACATTAAAGTGAAGGGAAAGAATATCATTACATGTATTTGTAAAATGCATGGTATCTGAGTGTACATCAAAAAATCCAAGTGAAATGATCTTAGTAGTCTAAGCACAGTCTTCATTGGATAGAGTTTGGAATTACAGATCTGTCCTAAACAACGAGGAGTCTGGTGGCACCTTAAAGACTAAGATTTATTTGGACATAAGCCTTTGTGGGTAAAAACCCCACTTTTTTACCCACGAAAGCTTATGCCCAAATAAATCTGTTAGTCTTTAAGGTGCCACCGGACTCCTTGTTGTTTTTGTGGATAGAGACTAACATGGCTACCCGTCTGATACTTAGATCTGTCATGAAATTTGGTATAATTTGCTGTCTGTGTTCAAGAGCTGGTGTGGAGACTGAATAGTCCCTTCACCTAGAGAATGCTGTCCCTCCAGGCCAGAGTTAAGGTAGCTAGTGGGATAACTCACTGCGTTGTCCTAAGTATACCCAACAGGTGCTTGTAAAATAAAATAGTTTCGGTTCCACTGCTGCTAGTCCCTTAATTTTCACAAATAATAACAAAATGTTTGTTTACTTTTTGAATTATGCATCTGTTGGAATTAAATTACATTAGTCAGTTACTCTTTCTGGTTCCTATATGTTAGAAAAAAATTGCTTTTTGTGTTCACAAACACCGGATGGGAACATTTAGATTTAAACTCCCCCATCCCCTAAAGCCTGTTTTCACTGAAGTTAAATAATTCCAGTAACATAAATAACTAGGTTTTGTAAGCCTCCTTCCCTCTCATTTCTATTCCCTCCTTCTTCATAGAAAATCTGAAATGTTAGGTCTAAAACTAATTAAGTGTTCCTTTATGCCAGACAGCACTGTTATTGTATGTGGCTATTACATTAGGTGAACCTATAATATCTTTAGAGACTAACAAATTTATTTATTATTATTTATTTATTAGACTAACACGGCTGCTACTCTGAAACCTATAATATCTTTAGGTTTTATGTTCTCAGAAGCTGACCACAAAGCTCTTTTAAAATATTGACTTTTGTTTTAGCATAAATTTCCTCTGAAGGCCTACTTTCCTCATCATCATCAGCATCTTGTAATAGCCTTACTCAAACATCCTTTTGGTAAGTTCTGCCTTGAATTGTTGGAGCATTAACAGAATCTGCATTTTCATTTATTTTTCTGCACAATATATAACCTCAAAAATAATGCACAAGGATTACCTTAATTCTGAGTGCTTGACTTTGCCACTTTTGTAATGTTCTTTAATGTAGGTTTTTGTGTAACTATTATATTCAATGGCATAGATTTAAACAAAATTAAAACCAAAACCAAATAAGAGTAATAGAAGAAAGGCAAATTATTTTCAATATAGTAAAGCCAATGCTAGGAATTAAAACACAGTTATCAAGGACTGGAAAGGTATTCAATGTTCATGTCTTGTAAGCCCAATAATGATCATTGTGAAAACTCCCATATTCAAACGTATTAATGCATTGTGTTGCCTTTCTCCTCTCTGAAATCTGATTTCAGTTAAGTCACAAATGAAAATAAGTTTGATCTCCCTTGTCTCTATTTATGCATATCAAAACTAATGTTTCATGTGACACAGTTCTGCATGATTGGCAATTTCTGCTAAGGACAGGGCACTTGGCTGGGATAACAGAGATACACTAGATTAGTATTGATGAGAAACAATATATATATATTGTGTGTGTGTGTTTGTGTGTCTCTGTGCGTGTATGTATGCGCGCGCACACACACACGCACTTATGCCTAATTTGATGAATAGCCTGAACTTCAGTCCTGTATTTTGCAAATGAATTTTTGACCAAAGAACATAAAGTAATTTATTATAGATATGCTTGAAAACTACGGGAAAGTTTAAAAATGAGAAGCAATTACTGAAGACTGAATCATGTGTCTAGCAAGTTCTAGTTCTAGCTTGATACTGTACCAAATATTGTTCTGTTTTAGCCTGTTTCATTAGGTACAACTTTTCTTCTTACTGTTTTCCAGATTTGCCAGCTACGCTTTGGTCTCAACACCTGAAATACATTACTGACATGCTTAAAGCAATAATAGAAGATAAAAGCATTAGGTAAATAAAAATACTTAGACTATCCCTCATCATTTCTTCTTGTTCTTCTGTTACTTCGTGAAAAGTCATGTGGTTCATAATCTTGGTTGATTAATTTTTAGTTATCTTTAGATGCCATTTTCTTCTTAGTTCCCAAATACAACCTCTGTTTAAGGATAGGAAAATAGGATATCCTCGGATATAAGGAGGACTTCTAAACTATGAACCTGATTTTCAGAGTCTCAAGCACCCACAGTTCAAGTCAATGAGCACTTCAGAAAATCAGACCTTATAATTATACCCTGTGATAGAGTCCACTCACTGCCAGGGGCACCTCCTCCTAGCCACTCTGGGGATTAGCTCCTTCCAGATCTGAGGCACCTTTCTCCTGCATGCTGCACACTCTGTTGCTGCTCTCTCTCTCCCTCTCTGAAACTTTGGATGCTCCCTCTTCTTGACTTGGCCCTCCATCCAGGTCCCTATGTGTGTTTCCTTAGGTTAGTGGCAGGTCCCACTCACCATTAATAAGAGTTCTTTCATTAGGCTTATTAGCAGCACCCAGGCTATTTACGAAGAAGTTTGCAATAGTAGCAGCAGAGGCCTGTTGCAATGGCTCCGTTGCCATCCATATCTAGATGACTGGCTCCTGACAGAAAGGTCCTGTCTAGAAGTTTTGACATTGACATCATTGCTGCTCCATCTCCTAATGGCCCTGGGAATTGGTATAAACAAGTCTACCCTAAATCTGACACAAACTATAGAATTCATAGGAGCGACTCTAGACTCAGTCAGGGCAAGAGCTGTATGGTGTATCTGCCAAGAAGACAGTATGTACACAATAGTGATTATTCTCCCTTGATGTGGTGGAAAGACCCCAAGCGCATATGCATGGAAGTTCCCCTCTTCCCGCCCATACCTGAGAAAAAGCTAGTTACAGATGCCTCCCAACTGGACTGGGGAGCCCACATGGATGACTCACAGCATAAGGCACCTGGATGCCTCGAGAGACCAGAATGCAAATAAATCTCCTGGAGCTGAGAGCTGTCTGGGAAGCCTGCAAGGCGTTCATACCACTCATGATTCTGACATATCCTAGTAATGTCCAACAATATAACAACCATGCTCTATATTAACAAACAGAGAGTGCTAAATCCATCCTTCTATGCATGGAGACGTTTAACTTATGGAACTCGTGCATCCAACACCACTGTGATCCTAAGACTCCCTCAGTGCCAACTGGCAAAGGGTTCACTGTTCTGTAACAGCAACTCCTATTAAGCCTGAAAAACTTACTACACCTAATACGCTGTTTTCATGGTTTTATCCATAAATAGTATCTTGTAAGGTATCAAATGAAAACTGGTGACACATAAGCATTGTAAGATGTATGTATGGATGATATTTAATAATTTGTATAGAAAGTTGTATGTATGTATTTATTGAAAAATATATTTCAGAATCTGTATCCCAGGCAGGGTTGACTATCAAGTTTTTCCTAGAAAAAGGAATGTCGGTTTATCTGTCTACCTAGATTCATTTGTAAAGGAAGCATTGTAAGTCAATACAATGGAAACTGCCTTTACAGAGGAGAGTTATTCTGACTCTGGGCTGGGAAATATAAGGAAAAGCAAAAGGATATTTTGTTATCCATTTCACTGAGAAACCTGGGCGGGCGTGTGGGGAGAACGATTCCTGAGTGCTGTGGATCCTGGTTTGACTGAAAACCAGCAAGCTTTGCAGAAAAAGCTCAGCCTGAGAGACTGTTTTAGACAAAGGTTTGTAGCCTGTTAAAAGTAAGTCTTAGTCTAGTAGAAGCCTGTTATACTTTTGTTTTATTTGTAACCTGTTGTTATTATTCTTGCTCACTATCTCTTAATTCTCTACATTTGTTAATAAACTTTTGTTATAAATAGATTACAGTGCTGTGTTGTTATAAGTTGGTGTATATGTACTATTCCTTTGAGCGCCCTTGGGAGTAGTGAGCCTGGAAATTACTATGTGTGTCCAGTGACAGAGGCTGGAGGCTACAGGGGGGGATGCTTCTGAGGAGTTCTGAGGTACACCTAGTGTTTTACCTGAAAAGCAAAGTAGCGGCTGAGTGCTGAAAGGTTGGTAGTGTCAGGGAGCTGTCACCCACCTACCACAACAAAGACTCTCTCTCACTGAGGCAGGTGGGTAACACAGTGACTTACAGTCCTGGCACCTCAAGAAAGTGTCGTAGCCACATTACTGTGTCAGCAGTATAGCTCTCAGCTGTTCAGAGTTCACAGGTGGACAACCTCAGCAGGCACTTTAGCACTGATCACAAGTGGGAACTGCACAATTCCTTACTAAACAGCATCTTCACCCAATGGGGAACCCCTGCTTGGAACCTTTTTGCATCCCACAAGAACATGACTAGCCAACAAAACTGAAATGTATTTTGATTCTTTTGCAGATCTTACACTGACCTCTTTGAGAGCTGGTTTTTGTTTGTTCATTTTGGAGAATGGGCTGATATCGCTGTAGAGCAGTTGCTGAAGTCTGAAGATGAATCCGCAGATACTTTTCTGTGGCTGCTGGCATTTTACTACAATCCACACAGTGATAAAGAGCAGAGGACTCAAATTCTGGTGGGTGGTGTAGGCATGGCTGAGAGTATTTAGCCAATTGTATACCTGAAAATTGAGGCACTTATGTTTGAAAGCGGCTGGGGTTTGCAGGGTCCTCCTGGAATTGTAAAATTCTGCAGTGGAGGGGATCCAAGATAATTTGTGTGGCTCTTTCAACTGTGACCATTTAGAAACTGGGTTTGTCAAGTGTACTGTAGGCCAGAATGCCTTTATTTACTTTTCTTCTGAAAAATATGACCGTATCAAATCAGCTTGGTTGGTACACCTGTAACTGCTCCTTTTGAATCTGTGTGGCAGGATTTCAGAGCTCCTGTGACGTAGAGTCCTGTAGGACAGCCATGCTTTAAAAGTGAGAGCACTAATAATAATAACAGTGCAGCATTCTTCATTCACATTCAGCAGCAGTGAATCTGATCTAACATTATCTATCTAATTTGATTTCTGTTGCACCTGTCATCATAGAATCTAGGCAGTGATCTGATGATGTAATTCAGTCTTTCTTATATTAACTTGTGCCATGGTTACTTAGTTTTGTTTTAAACACTAAAGGTCTGGTTCTCTATTCCACTCAGCATAGGAACAGAGGGGAGCAGGACAAAGGTGGGCCTTATGCTAGCTTTGCACTTCCCTATTCTGGAGCCAGCATGGGCCCTATTGGATGCCCTGAGTAAGTTAAAGCAGCCTAAGAACTGCACTAATTCACCCTTAGCTACCTATGACTGTAGGGACTATTGCAGCAGGCAGGAATAGTTGGAATACAGCCGCATTCTGACCACACACCCTATCCTTACATATGGACGGTGGGTGCATGTGTGGTACACAGCTGTTATCCCAGTTTTACCCAACCCAGGGAATCCTCCTTTGTCACAGATACTCCCCAGTGTTTAAATTTTGCATCATATGGCCCCTTTGCTAGACCCATGTGAAGAGGAAGTAGCACAATGCACAATCAGGTCTTGTGCAGATAGTCTTTTCTTGGTGTTAGTTAAAACTTCAAGTTATCACACAGCATTAAAGTTCTTTGTGTTTCTGAAAAGGATCTTGAACATTTTGTTTGAATATGAGAAGACACTATTTAACTAATAACTCTGGTTATTATACTTGGAAAAATAGTGTTTATTTTACTTTGAATAATATAAGAAGGTGTGCTCAAGTGTCATAGTTAGGATAATTGATACTCCCATTATAAATGTTTGTTTTTAAAGATTTATACTTCAGCATAAAATAATCCCTTTTAAATGGGAGGAAGGTGCTAACTTTTTTAATAATCAGACTTGGCACACTTCTGTAGAAAAAGATAATGGCTTCTCTGTAAATCACAATGAAAGCAATACTGAATTAGGATGCAAGTCCTTTGGATATGGATATTACATCTGATCTCAATGGAAGACCTTGTCTCTTTCCAAAGTTTTTCATGTATTTCCCGTGAGAATACCAGTCTGATAATAGAAAAAAATCACTTTCTGTTGAGACAAATTGATTTAACTCATTTGTTGGTTTTGTTTTCTGGCAGGGAGTGGTAGGGAAAGGACAGTACTCCATATACATAGAGGGATCCCGGTGTCTATTGTTTCCTTCCCCCTTTCTTAGTGCTTCTTACTGTTATTCCTGTTTCATTAAAGTCCTGATCGCTCCCCAAAAGTGCACTTTAGAGTTGTAGTTTCTTCACCACCTTGTTCCTAACTTACCACTGCTCAGTCAAAATATCTGCCCCCCCGCCTTTTCTTTAGTCCTAGCACAGGGGAATGAGAACATAGAGAGAAAAGACTATGAAGACTGATAGGTATGGGAGCCTGTAGTCATTTCAGCAGAGAGGAGGAAGAAGAGGACTTTTTAGCACCCGGTGACGGGAAGGAGAGACTGAAACACTGCAACCAGACATACATTAACATAGACGGAAGCTGAAAGCATAACATCTGCTTTGAATATCATGGAGTAGTGAGGCACGATTTAAAATCCAAAATATTTTTAGCATTAAAAAGGTCTAGATATATTGTATCCACTCTTCCTTATTGATTCAGCTCAGGAATGGTTGAATGGGGGAATCAGTGCAGGTGTAGTGAAATGGGAAGGAGTAAGATTCAGGTGCGCTTGTTTGGAGGCAGTCCAATCTCAATGGAACAATAACATTTCGTTATGTCTCATAAACTTTTATTGTGATCTCATTAGTGCCATGTAGCATCCCTAGTGCATCCTGGGACAGACTTCAATGAGGAATTACCTTTCCAGTAAAGCAAACTCTTTCAAGCTAGCATATATAGAAATGTTAATGTGAAAAAAATCAGTAAGTGCAAGGAAACAAATAGCTAAAACTAAAATGAACTCACGAACGCTGGTGGGGCTGAGGTCCTACTCCCCTTAGTCCTAGGCGGTATGTTTTGCTTTTGTCCTTATGTTTCCTGTCTTTTATGTAATGAACAGTATAATTACAATGAAATATGTTTTTTAATAGCTGCTTATAATGAACTAACAACTTCAATTATGTGGACACTAAAATCTTCATTCTCTGTTTTGACGGTACATTTATATTGGCTCCTCCAAGAGGCAGAGGAAATAAACATGTTGCAAGTAATACAGGAAGAAGCCAAAATCCATCATTCTTATCAGAATGTTTTATCAATTGAGGTCAGATTACATTGGGGTTTAATTGATTTGTAGCTGCAATATTGAAGTGAGCCTTCAAGGAGCCTTCTGTTCTTTTTCCCACAATGTAAAAATCTGACTACATTCTACTGAGGGATTTTCTCCATTTCCTTTCATTACAAAAAAAGTCAAAACTTGGCTCGATGCCTTGGCTGCTTAGTTTGCAAGACCAAAGAAAGTAAAGAATTTTCCATTTTGTCCATTTATGTTTGTGTGAACCACCGTCAGCAAAATGTGCACTGCCCTTCCTTCCCTGTTCTCTGCAGAGCCTCTTAAACTCAAGCTCTTGACGTATTTTTGGGTTTTTTTGTCTGTTAGTGAACGAATCTCATTAAAAAAAATACCATAAACACAACTTTTACTCTTCTCTGATCCTTTATCTTTTGAAATTGTTCCCTACAGGTAGAAGCTCGAGCAGTGTATGATCGTCTGATGATGCTCTTCAGCTGTACAACCCTCTCCATCACAGATCTGCAGGCTGCAGCTAGCACTAAAACAGATAAAAGGCAACCTTGCACCAAACACCTTGTCAGGCATCTTCTGATTAGTTTTTTGCTCTTTTCTTCTGGTGGACACAAGATTGCCCAAGAGTTTATTTCACATGTAAGTGTTTCCATGTTTTTCAACAAGCTTTTTTTTGTATTATTCACATGTTGAAAATTTCTCCTTCTTATGAAAAAGCTGATCACAGAGAATTAAAGAAAATTACGCTAACCTAAATAAGAATTGCAGCCAAAATATTCTCCTTCTTGACAGTGCTTCCACAGGGTCCCATTGGAGAAGTCATTACCTAAGCTATGGAGCCACAGAAATGTTTTGAGTAGTAGCTGACGGTACAGGAGTGTATGTAGTTCCCTCACACTTTACATTCTATAGATTTAGACCATGTCTACACTACCACTTACGTCGGCAAAACTTATGTTGCTCAGGAGTGTGAAAAAACACACCCCTGAGTGACATAATTTTTGCTCGCATAAGTGGTAGTGTGCATAGCACTGTGTTGGCTGGAGAGCTTCTCCCACTGACATAGCTGCCACCACTTGTTGTGGGTGGTTTTATTATGTCAACAGGAGAGCTCTCTCCCTTCAGCATAGAGCAGCTACATGAAAGATCTTACAGTGGCGCAGCTGCATCGGTTCAGCTGTGCTGCTGTAACTCTCTAGTTATAGCCTAAGAATGTATACACTTTGCCCTCTCAGGCATCAATCACTTCCAATGACAGATGATGTGGAAAAAGCTGAAGTACGCAATGCTTTTTTTGCCTCGGTCTTCACAGGCAAGGTCAGCTCCCAGACTGCTGCATTGGGCAACACAGTATACGGAGGAGGTGAGCAGCCCTCAGTGATGAAAGAACAGGTTAAGAACTATTTATAAAAGCTGGACATGCACAAGTCCATGGGTCCAGATCTAATTCATCCAAGGGTGCTGAGGGAGTTGGTTGATGTGTTTGCAGAGACATTGGCCGTTATCTTTGAAAATTCGTGGCGATCGGGGGAGGTCCTGGACGATTGGAAAAAGGCAAATATTGTGCCCATATTAAAGGGAAGAAAGAGAATCTGGAGAACTACAGACCGGTCAGCCTCACTTCAGTCCCCGGCAAAATCATGGAGCAGGTCCTCAAGGAATTCATTTTAAAGCACTTGGAGGAGAGGAAGGTGATTAGGAACAGTCAACATGGATTCACCAAGGGCAAGTTATGCCTGACCAACCTGATTGCCTTCTATGATGAGATAACTGGCTCTGTGCATATGGGGAAAGTGGTGGATGTGATATATCTTGACTTTAACAAAACTTTTGATACCATCTCCCACAGTATTCTTGCCAGCAAGTTAAAGAAGTATCAATTGGATGAATGGACTATAAGGTGGATAGAAAGCTGTTCAGATTGTCGGGCTCAACGGGTAGTGATCAATGGCTCGATGTCTACTTGGCAGCGGGTATTAAGCGGAGTTCCCCAGGAGTCGGTCCTGGGGCCGGTTTTGTTCAACATCTTTATTAATGATCTGGATGATGGGATGAATTGCACCCTCAGCAAGTTTGCAGATGACACTAAGCTGGGGGGAAAGGTAGATATGCTGGAGGGTAGTGATAGGGTCCAGAGTGACCTAGACAAATTGGAGGAATGGCCAAAAGAAATCTGATGAGGTTCAACAAGGACAACTGCAAAGTCCTGCACTTAGGAAGGAAGAATCCCATACAGGCTGGGGACTGACTGGCTAAGCAGCAGTTCTGCAGAAAATGACCTGGGGATTACAGTGGACGAGAACCTGGATATGAGTCAGCAGTGTGCCCTTGTTGCCAAGAAGGCCAACGGCATATTGGGCTGTATTAGTGGGAGCATTGCCAGCAGGTCAAGGGAAGTGATTATTCCCCTGTATTCGGCACTGCTTAGGCCACACCTGGAGTATTGTTTCCAGTTTTGGTCCCCCCACTACAGAAGGGATGTGGACAAATTGGAGAGAGTCCAGCGGAGGGCAACGAAAATTATTAGGGGACTGGAGCACATGACTTATGAGGTGAGACTGAGGGTACTGGGCTTATTTAGTCTGCAGAAGAGAAGAGTGAGGGGGGATTTGATAGCAGCCTTCAACTACCTGAAGGGGGGTTCCAAAGAGGATGGAGCTAGGCTGTTCTCAGTGGTGGCAGATGACAGAACAAGAAGCATTGGTCTCAAGTTGCAGTGTGGGGAAGGGGTCTAGGTTGGATATTAGGAAACACTATTTTACTAGGAGGGTGGTGAAGCACTGGAATGGTTTACCTAGGGAGGTGGTGGAATCTCCATCCTTAGAGGTTTTTAAGACCCGGCTTGACAAAGCCCTGTCTGGGATGATTTAGTTGGTGTTGGTCCTGCTTTGAGCAGGGGGTTGGACTAGATGACCTCCTGAGGTCTCTTCCAACCCTAATATTCTATGATTCTGATTCCCACTCCATTTAGCAGCTGGAGTGGTTATGGAACCATCCACTGCCCATTTTCCTGTAAAACAGGTAGCATTAATTAGTGTTAGCACTGAATAGGTGGAGGGGAATTGGGGTTTTAGGGAGACCGGAGAGGAGAGGAGGATGAGATAAGATATAATGAGATCCTGAATGAAAGAGTTAGCTATGGGGATGGAAAGAAAAGAATGTGTGCTGAAGATGTTGAGGAGGGAAAAGTGACAGAATCTGGCTGTGACCTGCATGTGGGGGGCAGAAGACAGGGAGGAATAAAAAAATATCCCTTCAATTGCAGGCATGAGAGATGGGGTGGGGTAATAGAGGTGTCAATAGCCATAGAGAATGGGGGAAGGAGAGAAGATAATATGGTTAAGACTCAACTCCTTTGGTGAAATCCTGGCTCCACTGAAGTGAATTGGAGCTTTACTCTTTGAGTAATTGCCCATGTGGGTGCCAGTTCTGGTGTGCATGTGCCCCAATGCCTCAGAGATCAGATTCTTTTGGCCAACCGTGTCCCTTGAGTCTGTGTCCTGGATGCCCTTCGGCTCCCCCATCCCCTCCAAAGGCATAAAGGGCAGAGTGGGCCCAACTGTCCTTCAGTTTCTTTTAACCACCCGTGACTGTGAGATGGAACATTTGGCAGTGTCTCTTCAGATCGTATAAATCTTTTGCCTACTGTGTGATTTAAATCCCTTCATATAAACAGTCAGTATATTAGTCTAGGTAGGATAGTTGTTAGTTTTCTGATTATTTTTATACCCAAAGGCTTATTTAAAGATTTATTAGTGCTAGGGACTTCTTCGGTACTGGAAACTAGGCCTCCATGGCTGAAGTGAAGTTCCAGTTCCAGGGTTCAAAACTTGCTCCTTTTTGTGAAGCACTTATTATGCTGAATAATGGACACTTGACATGGCCTTGGGGAAGATCATGACCTCAATAGAGTTCAGTTTGTCATGCCTTTTTTAGAAGAACTCAGAAAGTGAGAGAGGTTTTTCTTAAACTCTTCTTCCTGGAGTGTTCAATGAGAATATCCTCAGATCCGGAGGGAAAAGGCTCTACCAAAACTGAACAGACTTAATTCCTGAGTGTTCCTGTAAACTGTGGCTCAATTTTGAGCTCTTTGGCTCAGTAGACATAGGAGGCAACAACTTCTGAGACCGGCAGAGCAGCTAAATCCTCCTCCAGAGCCTCTTCCAAAGATGTAGGTTACTCACTTCACTGCCTATGAAAGTGAGACATGAGTGACCAAGTGTTAGACTTGTCTTAAGCTCCACTTTGTAATTGGATTAACCGAAACTGCACAAAGGCACACTAGTCACAGTAGTGGGCTCCATGTGGACAAATAATTGAAGAAGAAAGAACAGTTACTTATTCCAATTCAAATGGTGCTGCAGTGTCTGTCTTACCTTGCAGAGGTAAGACAGACACTGTAGCACCATTTTGAATTGGAATATTTCACTTTGGGCATTCATTTTTTTGGACAAAAATATCAGTATGTTCTGCAGAAAACAAGTTACTTATCTTAAATTAACTGTGGTTCATTGAGACGTATTGTCCACATGACTCCCACAACCCACTCTCCTTCCCTGTTTGTATCGAGTCCTATAGCTCTGGAATTCTCTATTGGCAAAGGAACTGAGGGACAGTTGGACCCACTCTGGCCTTTATGCCCTTGGATGGAGGAGGCATATGAGAATATCCAGGGCATGAGCATGGCCTCAGTGGATACAGTGGTCAAAATAATCTGATTGTTGTGCACATGGGGAATGCGTGCCCCCGCACAAGGATCCAGTCTGAGATCTGTGTTTATATAATCCTACACTTGCAGAAGAATGGACAAGATGATCTCATTCAATAAATCCTTCCCATTATTAACGAATCTCTTTCTAAGTTAGTGTGGAACACAGCTATAATGTTTCATATTTAAATACTCCAACTCTTAAGTCCTGTGATTAAATAATACTCATTTCAGCAAGGAGTGCTGGACACAGTTCTCTATGGAGCCCAGTGATAGGCTAAAAGTTTTGCTAGATTGTAATATAAGGTTATCTTTGTACTGGGGACTGAATACACCTTAACAGCATCTTGAGTCCATGTTAACCCAGCAACAAGGGACTTATCTTCAGTCCTGAATTTTGATTCTCATATTGTACAGCCAATAGACTACCAAGAAAACCCAGTATTCTTTAAATTTTTTATTCTGTTACGTACTGTTGTTTGCTGGGAACTGTTAAATAATTGTCATGTTCCACCCCAGAAGTGACTGCATTTCATTGATGGATGAACCAATTTGCAGACATATTATATACTGTGAAGTGCTTTGGGATCCTTTTAAGATTAATTTGCTACATAAATGTTAGATTATTATTATATTGTTATTTAGCTACTACATATGCTACATATATTTATAGGTCATGTTTTACAATAAGAATCCAAACCCTCTGAGGCAAGCAGGCCAGAACTTCACATCATTGTTTTGCTTTAGCACTTTGTCTGGAAATTCTTCCTCTCGGTGTCAAAGTACTGTACTCCTTTTATCTTTTATAAGGCCTGTAACACATGAGAAAAATCTTTTTGCAGTGAGTGGAACTGGAACATTATTGTTGATTATTCTTTCTAGCTGCTGTTAGTTGGAATAAACAAATATAACATTACTTTCTTTAAGGACTGCTAGGATATGTTAGAAAACTTGGGTGTTTTATAGAAAATGACTTTGATTATTCATTAACATTGAAATGTTGTATTTTAAAGTTGTTTGGAAGCATACATAACTTTTCATTTGGGTCTATTTATTTTCTAAGTCTTATGTGCTGTCTGCCCTGTATAGATCAGTGAAGCCCTTTAACAGTTAGGCTGCAGCCAGGGCCGACTCCAGGGTTTTGGCCATCCCAAGCAGCCAAAACAAAACAAAAACAAAAACAAAAAGCCGCGATCGCAATCTGCGGCGGCAATTCAGCAGGAGGTCCTTCGCTCCCAGGCGGAGTGAGGGACCGTCCGCCGAATTGCCGCCGAATACCTGCACGTGCCGCCCCTCTCCGGAGCGGCTGCCCGAAGCACCTGCTTGCCAGGCTGGTGCCTGGAGCCGGCCCTGGCTGCAGCACCTTATTCTGCTATAACAACCCTTTACTGAAAGATGGAAGACAAGATCCTTGGTCCTGTTAAGCCAGTAGCACAAAGAGAATTTAAAATTGCCTTAAGGCAACAGCTTAGAATTCCTCTAGTACAAGGGAGTCCTGAGCTAGCATGGGGAGGCTATGCCAGTCCCTCCTACATTTCCCCCCTCCTGGCATAGGGGGCTTTCCAGGGTAGGCTGAGGACATATGAGAGGCATGAGTTGGAACCAGAGTGGGATGCAGAGTGCGGAGCAGCCCTCAGGGATCAGCAGGCTGGAGAGGTGGAATAAAACTCCCCAGTGCACTCAGTGCTCTTCTGTTACACTTTGAGGTCTAGTTCTGAGATTTCATTAACCTTTTCTCTTTCTTTCTTTCTTTCTTTCTTTCTTTCTTTCTTTCTTTCTTTCTTTCTTTCTTTCTTTCTTTCTTTCTTTCTTTCTTTCTTTCTTTCTTTCTTTCTTTCTTTCTCAGAAGGGGATTTATTTTCATGCTTTATGGAATTTAGTTGCTTTACAGATGACACCTATGACTAAATGGGAGGGGAGGTTGAGGGGGAGCTAGAAGAAAACAACATGTATCATGTAGTACATAGCTAGAAATTATTGCACTTGGAGTAATATATCTAAATTAGATTATTTCCTCTCTTCCTCCATTCTGTTTTTCCTTCAGGTGATACTGGCAAGCAATACAACCAATGAAGTTTTTGGCCTTCTTATACGTACTGCCTACAGGTTTAACCAACTTGGATTAAAAAACCAAAGGGCTGTGAAGCTGGTGAATGAACTTCTTCAAGAACTAAGATTTACGGATTAGTTTTGTATTGTTGTCCAGATCAACCCAGAGACTAGACCAGCTGATCAGATTTTTTCTACGGTAAAGTGTGAAAGGGAAGTCAGTTTTTTTTATTTATATTCCCCCTTCCCCATGTATGAAAATAGAAAATGTTTGGAAATGTCATTCTGTTAGAATACAGCAGTAATCTTTAAAGATGGTTGAAAATGTTGTTCATAATGTTTTATTTTACAAGGGACTTGTGTCATCTAAACGCTGTTTATTCACAGCCTCGTTGCTGACATTATGTCCTAGTTGTGGTCTAGATTTTCTGTAAATTCTTAGTCCAGGAAGTGCAGCTGTTAGGGGTGGAAACAAAAGCTATAATAATAGGAAGAGGCCTTTCCTTCTGTAAAATAATTACTGATAATTCAAAACTACTGTTTGAATGTTACGAGAGAGATAAAGTTCAGAAAAATTATGTTATTTACTAGTTGATTATTTCTAGCTGTTTGGGAGTAATTTAACAATTTGATCCTGAAATTCTGCTTCGGTGAGTCTAAGCCTGATCACAGACAAGTGATCATTAATGGTTCCTTCTGAATATGTGCTTCCATGAAATACAGTTTCATGAAACTGAAAGACCAATCAACTCCTTAAATTCTTATAAGTGATTTTACAAATTGAAACTCATCTCAGATTTACTATATGGCATTCATCAGAAAGTGTGTTCTTCCAAGGTAATGTTCTCTCTAGTTTGTACCACAGGACTTTTAGCAATGTCAAGAATATCGCAGAGAGGATTTGGTGCAGATTGTAAATAGATCTCGCTTTAATGCTGGAGATTCTCTATATCAGGAAGAAATTCTTTACCCTATATTAGTTAAAGGAGGACAAGCACAAGATAGGGTTATGGGAAGTTGTTTCAGAGTTAAAGGGAAAATTTTCAGAGGACCACATAATGGGTGCACCTGCAAATCCCCACATTTCTGTATACAGACAGGTACACAATGAAGTACAAATTGCTATTTGCCTGTAATGACAGGGGTATAGGGAGGGATTGTAGCCCATCCACTGTGCCATCTTTTGAAAATGATCCAAAAAGTTTGTGAAACTATTTATACCTACCATTATCTGGAGAAAAAAAAAATATGGGTAGCATCTGGTGGTGGAGGATGCTACTATATTCAGTCCTTCGTTGTCATATGTTGTCTAGTTTCAAGGTCTGTACTTTATGTGCATTAAGACTATTTGTGGGTGTGTGCATGTGCTGCAGTTACCCTAATTATCACAGTTTTGTGAGTATCATGTTTCTTCCATAGCAGAACTAAAACTGTTCACTTAGTATCCTGTTGCTCTAGACGGAGTAGGGATGTTTACAGTTTAGGAATTTCTTACATTAATACCTATTGTAAATCATAAAAGAAAGAGTTACAGAGGTTACAAAGGGTATGTAAGACTAGAACATAAGCCTGCCTATATTAGGTCGACCTACAGCCACTTCAGTAATTACTGTGGTGGTGCATGTCCACGCTACCCTCCTTGGGTCGGTCGGGCACATCCTCACCAGGAGCACTTCCACTGACCTAAGAGGGACAGTGTGGGGAGCAGTCTCTCAGCTCTGCTGGCAGCTCCTCAGGCCCCCGACGGGCTGCCATTCCCCTCTGATCCCCATTCCCCACCAGGAGCAGGGGGGAAGCCACCCGAGGCTTCTCACCTCACTGGGAGCTGAGGGAAAGCTGCCTGGGGCTTCTCGCTTCCCTGTTCCCGACCGGGAGTGGAGGGGAAGCCGCCCAGGGCTTCTAAGCCCTGGGGAGCAGGGTCCAGCTGCCCTGGCTTCACAACCCTGCTCCCTGCCAGGCACCAGGCTGCCTGGCTCTGAGTGGCGGAGGGGAAGGCAACTGGGATTCTCACCCAAGCTCCCAGCCGGGAGCGAGGTCCAGCCACCCTGCTCTCCACGGGAGCGGGGGGCAGCTGGGTTCTAGCTGCCAATTTTCTTGTCAATTTTACAGCTTCTGCTATGAAATTGACAAAACAGCCAACAATCCATGTAAGGAACACCATGTCTACACAGACACTGTGTCACCCTAACTACACCGACATAAGCCTGACGCCTCTCTTGGAGGAAGAGTTATTATGTTGGTGTAGTAGGGCACTTACATTGGCCGGAGGAAGGCTGTAATTAGGTCGATGTAAGACAGCTTACATCAACCTAACTGTATAGTTTTCAGAGTAGCAGCCATGTTAGTCTGTATCCGCAAAAAAACAGGAGTACTTGTAGCACCTTAGAGACTAACAAATTTATTGGAGCATAAACTTTCGTGGGCTACAGCCTACTTCATCGTATGCATGTAGTGGAAAATACAGTAGGAAGATATATATATATATACACAGAGAACATGAAACAGTGGGTGTTACTATACACCAGGGGTCGGCAACGTTCGGCACGCGGCTCACCAGGGTAAGCACCCTGGTGGGCTGGGCCAGTTTTATTTACCTGCTGACGCGGCAGGTTTGGCCGATCGCGTCCGCCACTGGCTGCGGTTCGCCGTCCCGGGCCAATGGGGGCGGCGAGAAGCCGCGGCCAGCACATCGCTCACAGTCTCTACGTAAAAGAATAAATGGACACAAATCAGACGTCAAGAATTATAACATTCAAAAACCAGGTGGAGAACACTTCAATCTCCCTGGCCACTTGATTACAGACCTAAAAGTCGCAATATTACAACAAAAAAACTCCAACGCGAGACTGCTGAATTAGAATTAATTTGCAAATTGGACACCATTAAATTAGGCTTGAACAAAGACTGGGAGTGGATAGGCCATTACACAAAGTAAAACTATTCCCCTCCTCCCCCCCAGTTCCTCATATCTCCTTGTCAATTTTGTCAATTGCTGGAAATGGGCCATTTTCGTTACCACTACAAACTGTTTTTTTTTTCTGCTCCTGCTGATAAAAGCTCAACTTAACTGATTACTCTCCTTATAGTGTGTATAGTAACACCCATTGTTTCATGTTCTCTGTGTGTGTATATATATATCTTCCTACTGTATTTTCCATTATATGCATCCGATGAAGTAGGCTGTAGCCCACGAAAGCTTATGCTCAAATAAATTTGTTAGTCTCTAAGGTGCCACAAGTACTCCTGTTCTTCTAACCGTATAGTGTAGACCAGCCCCTCATCTTCTAATCCATTCATTAAAGTGCTCATAGTATTTGTTTCAGAGCAGATGCAGCAATAGTAAAGATTTAGCAAATAGTTTATTTGATTCAAGAGCACTTTTTAAATAAAAAAGAAAAATCAATCGTGAACTGTTGGCTGCTGCATCTTTTCACTTATTGGTAGCAAGGTATACACATAAGAAAAACAGGCATTCTAGTTTTCGTCTTCTAGATATTGCTTCTAAAAGGCACGGAATAGATCTGAAACTAAGGAGGCTGTCGCTGTTGACAAAAACAAAAACAAAAACAAGGAATTTGTCCAGTGGGAACAAATGTGTGGAATGTTCTTCCTTATATGACAAGGAATCTAAAATTAATTTGTCTTTCAAGGAAGAAAGTTGATTTTTTGTTTTTATTTTGTTGTGGGGTTTGTGTGTGTGTGTGTTTTGTTTCCTTTCCTCCAGAATCTTTTGATGGATTTTGTTTTCTGTGGCCTTACTCGACCCTTACTTTGTGCTTACATGTTCAATCTGGATATTATTTATATATATATATATATATATATATATATATATATATATATA